AATCAAAATAAATCTGATCCAAATTGATGACTTAATAGCGTTGATCAACTGTCCATTGAATTTCTACGAAGAAGGATTCGAGAGAAGGGAAGGAGGAAGCACATCAACAGAGATAAGAAAGACTCGATGAAAAAACACAAACAACACTCTCTTTTAAAAACCAGAAAACAAGCACATATTCGACCAAGGCATATGCATCGGTTACAATAGTAGTGTGCATCTCATTATCGCCATAGTTGAAGGATCTTTTATTACACGACAAATCTTGCAAATCATGAAGAAGAAGCACCCTTGTACTCTGTCATCGATCTTGTTCAAAAGAGACGCTTGATCCTCAGAGCTTAAGTCGTGGCAGATACGAGTCACCATCGAAGCCCTTTTTATAGGTTTGGAAAAAGAATTCTTCCATCGCAATTTCTTGGTATATGGGAGGATTTCCTTCCGATAACAACTCTTTTATAGGTCCATACATTCTCGGTTTCAACGTTGACCCATTACCAAAAAATGCAACTGTTGATATTCTTGGTTCAGTACTGTTGACGATCACTCTATGCTCCGCACTTTTGAATTTATCGTTCGATATCAGCTGCAATAAAAAAAATGAAGTTGTGAGGTTACTAGCTAGTATGTATCTAAAACTGGGAGAGAGTGTATCGAAGGCTATCAAATCGGTTAAAGTTATTGAACTGGTCAAGCAAGTGGTTTGAGGTTCAATGGTCAGATTGGAGTCCAACCGAGTTAATTCGTTTTCTTCATTTTCTAAATATATATATACGAAGTAGTGGTTTAAAAATGTAATGACGAAAATCAATTTTACCATCATTTAGTAAGTTTACGTTTAAGTATATAAATACCCCATCAATACCCTAGCCTCATCTCATTTTGTCATTGCATTCCACAACTGACAACATTTTGTCATCGAGCCAGAAACCAGAAAGTGGTCCGATTTCCCAAATTTGACCACTCATAATAACTTGTTGAAAATAATTTTCACGACCCATTCCGATCCAACCAGATCCAACAGGCCGGTCTGATAATGGTTTGACAATCTTGTGGTATGCCACTATCGAGGCCCAATTTATCAATGTTCATCAGTTCATACTTCATAGCATAGTAGTAGCTAGACGAGCTAGTAAACGAGATACGTGCTAGTTTTTTTTTTTTTTCATAAATCAATAAAACGAGTAGTAACGTTAATTGAAATTTGAACTTGTACCTGAAGCATATCCCCGACGTTGACCACTAAAGCCCCCGGCACCGGAGGCACATCGACCCAACGATCTCGATGAACGACTTGCAGACCTCCGACGTGGTCCTGAGAAAGAACCGTGACGAACCCAATATCGGTGTGGTGAGTAATCCCCAGGGCGAGCTCCGGCTGAGGACAAGGAGGGTAGTAATGGCAGGCCAATCCAATTCCTTCCGCGCAACCCATCTCGTCCTTCAAGTGATTCGGAGCAAGACCCAACGCCTCCGACATCAGCTCGAGCAGCAATTCCCCGACCTTGGACATTTCGTCGGAGAATTCCTACACGTTCTGCCTGATGCAAGCGGGGATTTGCTCCGGCGCCGGCGGGTCCGGCGCCATCTTGAACAGGATCAGGTCGCCCCAGTTGGCGACCGGGGCCGTGTACAGGCCGTAGTTAGACGTGTACACAACTTTTGACATCGGATCAGCGCTGAAGTACTCCTTCTTCACTTCCACGTCCTGGTTGAAGAACCGGTGCGTCCCGGCTCTGATCCCGTTCAGGGTGCTCGCCGGGACGCCGTGGTTCACGACCTGGAAGAAACCCCACTCCGTCGATGCGTCCTGATTGTTAACACGAAGAGATTCTTTAACCGAAAAGAATTCAATTCGGGATGTAGGATAGCTTATCTAAATGTTTTCATAACTCAATCATGTATGATAGAATTATCAAGGATGTGACATTTTCGAACTCTGTTTGTAGCTCACTATAGGCTCGAGAAACAAGAGATAAAGATGTGTACGAACGAGATATCCAGCAACAAAACGAAAAAAAAGGAAACCCACTAAATCTCAATATTAGAAAAATTTAAGATTTGTCTCTTACACCGATTTTCTTGATGATTCGTTTCCGCTCCTCGGGGTCTTGATCGGCCCTCGCACCTGCCAGGTCGATTACCGGGAGAGAGAAATCCGGGTCGCCGTCTGGAGCTGGAGATCTGCCGTTGAGGAAATGCGGCGGCGCGTGGAAGATCTGGGGCAGCTCTTTGACGCCGGCGTCGACTAGCCCTTTCACTCCGGCTTTTGTTGCGTTGAATGCCTTCTGCTCCGCCAGCCGGTCATAGTCTGAATCGGTGGCGGCCATTTTTTTTTTCCACCTCCCGATTCTGGTTATTTCTTATGGTTTTCAAGAAACTGATTAGCTTGGGCAACTCTGAGTTGTTGTTTTTTTTATAGACCTTCGTCAGCGGGTTCTTCCATTGATAAGCATAAACTAATTACCGCAAATAGACATAGCACATTTGTCTTTTAGTCGGACGGCAAACCCTTTGATACCTTTGGTCGGCATTCATATGGACTCGTGATTGTTGTTTTGTTGGTTTGTTCTTTCTTTATCGTATATTCTTTGGGTTTGTTTGTTATTTGTTAAACCGAGTTATATCGCTGTGTCGGTCTTACAAGTGTTATGGTCCAAATTAGATCGATGATACAATCATTTATATAAGTTCATTTCAGTTTTAGCAAAACATGTTGGGAAATGAGAAATCACTATTTCGGCTTACTCCCCAAATTTGGGGTGCAAGGGAGGGGGAGGAGGGAAATTATGATTTTTGTTTAATTGTATTATAATTACATAATAATCAATATTATTAATTTTTTCTATTATTATGTAGACGTCAAGGTTGTCAACCAGCAGGTTGACCAACGGGTCAACCCAATTTGACCCTGACCCGGTGAGAAAAACGGGCCGCACGCAATCTCCGGGCCGACCGCTATAAGGTACCGGGTTGGAGGTCAAATTGTGTTATTTTTTTCTTTAGTTTGCGAAATGCGCCTATTTTCCAAATTTTCTTTTCGCTTAACTCAATCTTTGGAATACTAAGGTGAACATTTGAATATTTATGTTATATAAGTGTGTGTGAATTTTCAATATATGTTGGATCTAAGTACGATATGTTATTTTGGTGTAATATTATATGTTATAACTCATATGTTAGATAAGATTTGATATAATTTATGAGGATAAGAACAATATAATGACTCTTTCTATAATTCCGGGCCAAACCGGACTAAAACGGTTGACCCATTAACCCTTGACCCACTAGCTCGACCGGGTCCGGGTCAACCCGCGGGTTGACAACCTTGGTAGACGTTGTTCGGGTTGACCGTGTGACTTTGAGAGCAAGTTTGTCAATGTTCATCAAGTCAAATCGATATCTCTTGGTTGACTCGAATTTGCATTGAAAATTAGAGATAAGAAGCATTTGTGGAAAAGATAGAGATGAATCGTTTATTTGACTCAGTTTAATTGACTAAATAGTTAAAACTTACATATTTGAACGTATTTGATTAAGTTTTACCATTATTGAATTTAAAATTAGGCATGAGAACCCCCCTTACGATGACTAGTTACGAGTTGGGGTTCGAGGTCGCTTGACCAACGATTTTAAGTGTTGTTATAATTAATTATTATTTGAGAATTATTACATAATAATTATTTTAATATTGATTTTTATTTATACATTTTGGGACAATATTTTATAAATTTGATAAATCTATTTTATAATAATATAATTACTTACTTTTCACTCTATTTACACCCCTTACTTTTTCATCCAAACAACAATTTACCCCTCCACCTACACCTCGACCAAGTTGCACCCCTAGCAATTTACCCCTCAACTTGCACCCCCTTATTGCCAAACATAGTGTAAATGAACATAATGTATATATAACATATTTTAAGAAAATACAACATTTAATGCCGAAATTTAAAACGTTTATAATGGAATCCATCAAATAACATAAATATCTAAACATTCGTACTTGAATTTAACAAATAACATCAACATTTAACTTCGGAGAGTATACTCGTCAATTTTGTAATGATTAGCGGGTTCACATGCTAGGGTAGTGATGACAAATAGGTGGAGTGGATAACTCTAATTCTCTCAAACTCACAAGATAGGAGAAAGCTCTAGAGATGGATGAATCCAAAAGTTTGGGAGAGAGATGCTTAAATAAGTAGGGTGGCTATTTGGTCCGTACTTTTTGGTTTTACCCGAAACCGGACTGTATAACCCAGACCGAGACTGACCGGGACTGGATAGAAAACAATCAAATCCCATCTTCAAGCTTAGATATGAGGTAAAAAACCGTTCGGGACCGGATCGAAAACCGGATAAAGACCGAATAAGAGAACCCAACAACCAAAACTTAACCAATTTCTCACCTTTTGAGGCCTCAACCTACTCAAATCCACACAAGCACAATATAAAATCAAGATCTAATTGGGACAGGATCGGGTCATGACTGGATTGTATCCAATCCAATCTTTGATCCTTATATTATCGAAAAAATTGAACTGAGACGAAATAAATTTGGACAAATTTAACCGAACCGGACCGTATAGCCACCCCTATATATATGAGCATCCTCTACAACTGTACAATGTATGTAGCCCCTCATCATCGATGAACCTATTTTTGTTCCATTTTGCATATCTCCAAAGTTTTGATTACAATCCCAAAAGTGTTCTTTGCAATTTCCATATCTTCTGATTTGACGAGAAACTGATTGCAGTCTATTCACTCTCCAATCGTATCTCCCTGACCTTCATTTCTTCCAACTGTACGAACCCACCAGATCCACACTCTTACCACATACTCGTGCAAGTGACAGCAGAGACGCAACCCACCATAACCCCAGTTTCTTCCCGTAGCTAGTCTTCTCCATTTTCCCCCCTTCCCGATGCTCTGTTTTTACCACTACTAGAAGTAAACCCTCCCAAAAGAAGAAGGAAAAAAAAAAAAAAAAAAAAAACAATGTCGAACCAGACGCCTTCCTTCGTCAAAGTTTTGGCTGGATGTTCATCCATGAAGCTGCTGGTAACATTGCTTCTTCCACTTCCAATTATTCTACCGTTAGATCTTCTTTCTCGCAGCTCTTAACTCATTCACCCCTGCTCTGTCTCTCTGTTTCGTGTGGCAGAGAATTCCAGAGTCATTCATCAACCAATTCGGCCAAGTTTTGTACGGGAAAGTTATTTTCAAGTCCAGCACGGGGAATCCTGCCGTTGTCTCCGTGGAAAGAGGAAGCAATGGATGTTTCTTCGGAACTGGATGGCCATCTTTTGTCAAGGACAACGGTCTTCACCAAGGCGACTATCTGGTTTTCAACTTCACCGGGCACAGAACCGTCAAAGTTGTCGTTTACGACCCAACTGGCTGCGTCAAGAGAAATGCTGAAGTTCAGACCAGCGATCCTGAGTCGAGGCCACGAGAAGCTCCAATTAAGACAGAGTCAGAAGAAGGGTATTCCTCCGGCGATGCTCCTCGAGGTTCGGCTGCTTGCTTCCAAGTGGTTTACAAGAAGTACATGAACCATAGTGTGGTAATTGTGCACAATTCCTAGATTCTGCTTCACTTGCAAAAATCCAGCGCTGCATTTTTTTTGGACTCATAAAATGATAAAAATCCTGTCTTTTTCATTGTTTCTTTTTTATGTTTCAATGGGGGAAGTGCATTCCACTGAGATTTTGTAAAATCGCGCGGCTGGAAATGAAGAACAGTGCCCAACTTCAGGATCCAAGCGGGAAAGTTTGGCCAGTAACAATTATCTCCGGAGGCAAGGGACCAATGAAACGGTTCGGTGGTGGTTGGCTTGCCTTCGCTGCCGCTAATGGCGTCGCTGTTGGAGATAGAATCGAGTTCCGTTACAAGTCTGAATCGGGTGTCTTCCAGGTGAAGATACATAAACCAAACAATAATACTTGCAACGATTCTCGAGTTGGGAAGCGGCAATGGAAGAGAGCCGATGCTGCAAATCCTGAAAGGAAGAATCCTCATCCAAGCTATGAAAGGAACCCTGAAACAGAGAAATCCCTCAAACCCAGAAAAGGCAAATCCTCTGTTTTTTCTCACTCTCTGCCCTCCCTCTGTTTCCCTGCATTCAGCCATTTTTTTTCCTTCTCAACACAGAGCACAATTCTTGCTTAAGTTGATGAACTAACGTAACTTACTATCTAATTATACCAATGTCTCTTCTGGTCTTTGATTCGTGAATGTTAAAAAACAGGTTTACAGAGGAAACGAGGAGCTACAACGAAGGCAAAGTTCAGAAAAGGCCATTCTTCTGGCAACAAGACTCCTCCAGGTTTGGCTGATTCCGTCCAAGTCGTTTACAACAAGCCCATGGAACGTTCTACTTATATGGTACAAATTTATTTCCTTCCACTAGTTTCATAACTCTTGTTTTTTTTTTCTTTTCTTCAATCATCAAAACCTTGACCTCTGCTTTCATTCTCTGTGGCCTATATGAAGTGCATGCCGGTGAGATTTTCCGAAGCCACGAAGCTGTCACTGAAGAAAACTGTTCAACTTCAGGACCCAAGTGGGAAATTGTGGGCAATTTCTGTAATCTCGGTAGGGAAGGGGCTTAAGAGACGGTTCAGTGCTGGCTGGCGTGCCTTGGCTGCTGCGAACCGCATGGCTGTCGGAGACAGAATCGAGTTCAGTTACAGGCCCGAATCGGGTTTGATCCAGGTGAAGATACATAGAGAAAGGTGTAATGCTGGCAAGGATCCTGAAGTTGGGAGGAAACGGCCGTGGAAGAGAAGTGGTTTTTTGTCGATCTTGAAAGGATCATAGTGCTTGATTGAGAAGTTCATGAGAGGAAGCAAATATCTCTTTGATGTAATTCTGCAGACTGGTTGTTATGGCTTTCATAATTCGTGTGTGTTGTAGTGTAAGTTGTCATATGATAGTAGAACTTGTTTGGTGTATTGTCTTCTTTTCCTGGAAGGAAAAATGAAGGTTGATAGTAGCTTGAGCTGCTTGTATTGTCAATGGTGATCGGATAAATTTGAACCATATATAATTCTGCTTAAAATAATCACTAATTTAGTGTTAATGTATATTGCGTGTAAAGATTTAACGACATGATGCTACTCAAATTACTTACAATGACAACATTCTTTTCAATGTAGGGGAATTGTTCTTTTATTTATTTATTACCTAATAAGGGTATCGACATCTTCTCGAGAGCTCTATTTTGAGTTAGTAACACTTACTATGCTTGTTTCTATGTTGTCGTGATTGTCATGGTATTGTAGTATATGCTGTCATCTGATAGTCGAACTTGTCGGATGTACTATTTCCTCTCTTTAGAAACAAAAGCAGAACATAAGAAAGCATGAGTGGCTTAATGTTATCAATGACGATGTAATAAGTTAGAATCATATATAGATTTTCTTAAAAGATTATGTAATTTAATGTTCACGTGTATTGCAGATAAAGGGAATGGATCAGGTCAGTAACCTTATGGTGAGTAATCATGAGTAACCCGTCCACATCAGCATGACATCAGCATCCTCTCTCTCATGGAAAGCCTTTAATTTTTCCCTTTTTAATCTTTGACGGACGATTTCTCGCTCATTTTAAGTCGAAATTTAATTTTTTTTGCACAGTTAGATCAGATTAATTGTGCTCTTCAAAATGATATCCACTTTAATATATTTTTCGAACAAAAAAATTGAGCCATTTTTTACCAGCCTATACCACATGGTATTGACTGGTATTGAAATAAAAGCATACCTATGTTTTGAAAAACGTACCATGGTGGTATGTAGGGGTGGCTATACGGTCCGATCCGGTTAAATTGGCCCAAATTGATCCGGTCCAGTCCGGTTTTTTTTGAAAATATAAGGACCGAAGATTGGATTGGATACAGTCCGGTCTTGACCCGGTCCGGTCCCAATTCGGTCTTGATTTTATATTGAGATTGTGGGAATTTGAGTGGCCTAAGGCCTAAAAGGGTGAGGAGTTGGTTAAGTTTTGCACTAAGTGCAAAGATTTGTGACCGTTTATGCAAATTACCCTTAAGTTTTGGGTGTTGAGCTCTTTTATCCGGTCTTTATCCGGTTTTTACCTCAAATCTAAGCCCAAAGATTGGATTGGATTGTTTACTATCCGGTCCCGGTCCGGTCTCGGTCCGGGTTATACGGTCTGGTTTCCGGTTTTTCATCCGGTCCCGGTCCAAATAGCCAGCCCTAGTGGTATGAACAAACCAATACTGTAGGATGTTTGAATACATGATAGTAGAAGTATATTAATTGTAATTTACGACTTTTAACATTGTATACCACACAATACCACCCCGTACCAGGGTGGTATTGTGTGGTATTTTTTGGTCCTGTAATTTGTTCACCCAGAAATTTGTAGATCCAATAGATCATGATGAACTCGTCCCTTCTGTGCAAACATTTTCAAAAACGAATTAAAAACGAAGAAGATACCATACAATACCACCCCGTACCAGGGTGGTATTGTATGGTATTGTGTGGTATTTTTTGGTCCTGTAATTTGTTCACCCAGAAATTTGTAGATCTAGTAGATCATGATGAACTCATCCCTGCTGTGCAAACGTTTTCAAAAACGAATTAAAAACGAAGAAGATACCATATGGTATGCCGTTGGTACCGAGAGGCCAGATTTTTTTTTTCCTAAAAAAATATTGAAAATTGATCTCATTTTGTAGAGCACGGTGAACTCGTTCCATCTGTGCAAAAAAAATTAAAATTCGAGTTAAAACGAAAAAGATATGAGTCAATTAAGAAAGCTAGTGAAAATAAAAATAGTCCTTAATTCTCCATCCTTAGATCTGGATTTTCTAAATGAAGGGTCCAGATTTGGTTATTGATGGGTGCATAACCCATGGTTATGCACCCTATCTTGAGCTGCAGATAAAGATGGAATGATCAGATTCTTTATAGCACATAGTAATTAGGCTCCCTTTTGGTGTAAATGTGCACACGGGCTCCTCGTTTGGGCTAAAATATGGTTCTTTAGGCTTCACTTTTTGGCATTAAAAAAAAAAGATACAATGATGAAATTGCACCGAATTTATCATATCACTTTGTTTCATTTCCCACCCACAGGAAGTTTCACATTCAAGGGTCCATTTGTTTTCCAACAGTACTAACATGGAACAGTACTAGCAGAATACAGAAACAAAAGCATACATCCACGCATAACAACATAACATTACACATCACAGTACAATACAGTCTACTACGCGCCGACGTTCAACCTGGGACTCCATTCAGGCTGCAAACTCCGCCGGCGGCGACAACGACGTGTCGTTCGTCGCCGGTGCAGTATTGCAAGCCGATCGCCTCCCTCGTTCCCTCCTGCTGTTCTCGGCAAACTTCAAGCTAGCCTGATGCAGGCCTCTATTCTTCTCCTCTGAATTCCATTCGGCCATGTAGTAGTCCTCTTCGGATGAGGAAGACGAGCCGCCGCCGCGGCCGGAGGTAAACATGCCGCCCCACTGCGGGAAGTTTATCAAACAGAGAGGCAGAGTGCAGCAGATGATCATTATCCCCATGTACGTGATTCCCGTCTCCTTCGAGTATCTCGAACCTTTGAAGAATGCCAATTGAGTTATCACCGCTCCCACGTTCCCTCCTCCTCCCGTCATGCCCGAGATCAACCCGAGCGACCTGCAGCAGCAGCATATGCGTAGTTAGTAAAATACAATACGAGTAAGTTACGTAATTAGAATTGTTGTAACGAATTGATAAATTGTTAATGCAAGAAAGAAAAGAACGCATAGATTTACGTGGTTCGCGAATACAATGCGTATTAACTAAATTGACCAACCAGAGAGACCAATTTTACTGTATTAAAGACGAATTCGTAGCGAAAAGGATATCTCTTACCTTCTGGAGACAAAAGGCACGACTCCAAAGGTCAGGCCACAGGCAGCTTGGCAGAAGAAGGAGAAAAGGATCATGACAACAATGGAGCCGCCCAAGGAATTGACCCGACCCAGAATTACACAGAAAACGCCGCCCAAAGTCTGAACGATCCAAAGGGTCCAAAGCCTTCCCCTCATCCCGAACCTCTTCGCCACCAGATCGGAAAGAATCCCTCCCCCCGGCCGGGAAAACAGGTTCGCCAATCCGAAGCTCGCCGCAATCAAACCGGCGGTGTGGAGCTTCAGGTTGAACCGGTCGTAGAAATACTCGGCGATCACATTGTCCACCGTCAATTCGACCCCAAAGCAGTAACCATACGTCAGGGCCAGAATCCATCCCCTGTAGTTTGTAACCCCGTGGAACAGGACGTCGGAGATTTTGTCCTTGGACTTGTCCCCTGTTTTCTGCAGCCGCCGGAAGTTCCCGTCCGGCAAGTCCTGGCCGAAGATCAGGACGGCGAAGGCCGTCAGCATCTGGAAAACGCCGGGGACGTAGAATGCGATCCTCCAGGCGGTGAATTTGGGGGACCCCATGGAGTCGCGGATTAGAGCGAAGACGAGTGGCATGATGAGCTGTGTGGCGCCGCCGCCGAGGTTCCCCCACCCGCCGGCGACCCCGTTGGCGGTGCCGACGACCGGGGAGGAGAACATGGAGCTCATCCAGTACTGGGTGGAGACGAAAGTGGCGAGGGAGAAGCCGGTGAAGAACCTGACGAGGAGGAACGAAGCAGAGGAGGTAGCCAGGGGAGTGAAGAACACCGCCGGCGCGGTGATCAGAACGAGGGAGGCGGAAGCCAGGCGGGGGCCGACCATGTCGCAGGCGGTCCCCATCACGATTCGGGCGAATACGGCGCCGGAGACGGAGGCAATGCCGGCGTTCCCGATGTTGGTGGCGGTGAGGTTGAGGTTGTCGCGGATGATCGGAAGCAGGGGAGGCGCGGCGAAAGTGGAGACGAAGCAGGCGAAGAACGATACCCAGGAGAGATGGAAAGCTCGCATGTGGGGTTTGGCGAAAGAGAAGATTGGGAATCTCGTGGCCTTGTGCTCTGAGTCGACCGGGAGAGCGAATTTAGGCGGCGGCTGCTGCTGCTTTTCATGGGTACTCTGGTTTCCATTTTCATGGGTTGCTGCTGTTGAATTGGGTTCCATCTCCATGGCTGCTGCTGTGAAAGGAATTGGGTTTTCCATGTTTGGTGGGTTTTGGGCTTGTTTTTATAGGAGGGAAATAAAGGCACGCGGCGGAAGTTTGGAGGCTTGCAGAGGAGTTAAAAGGGTAACAGTGGCTCTTTGGAGGTGTGGAAAAAGCTTAAGAACAGCAAATTCATGGAGGTTTTCAGAGAACAGAGACTGACACTTACCGCCGAGTCTCAGTGGAGGAATTTCAAATGGAACTGTGCAGCGTTGGCAGTGTAGTGAATTGGAAGTTCTGGCTGGGAGTTGAATTTTGAGGATCCAATGGAATCTAACTCAAAGTCGTCTTGGCTGCGAATTGAAAGAGATGCTTTGGGGCATATAAATATTAGACCAAGTGGGGTTGGTGAAACTCTTGACTATTCTTTTTGAGCAGTTGATTAATGAAGGAGGGCTGAATCTGGGGAAAAGGATTCCTTTAGATACTCAAAGCGGTTGTTTAATGCTCTGATTCTCATGCTTCTTGTCGACGTGGGGTATCATGATCTCTTAGAGTTGAGAGTAGAGCTGTAGTTTGGAGTTTGGAGAAACTCATTATGGTTGTCTGTATGCTTTCGTGATATCGTCACGCGGTGTTGCAGTATATGTTGTCATCCGGCAGAACTCGTCGTCCTGTGTGTACTGTTTCCTCTCTTTAGAAACACAAGCGGCGCCTGATAAGAACATGAGCTGCGCTTGTTGTTAATGGCGATAGGATAAGTCTGAACCATGTATAGTTTCTGCTTAAAATAGGCGCGAATTTAATGTTCATTGTGTATTGTAGATAAATATGGAATGAGAGAATGTCGCTTACTACAAATTACTTAAACATGCAGACATACCTCTAATCAGCGCTGACGATGGTTAACTCTTGATTCTAGTGCTTTCTGTCCGTGCATGGAATTGTGGTTCTGTTCTTTACCTTGGCTTGGGGTTATAGCAACATCTCCTCATAGGCTCATAGCTCTTGTTTTGAGTTACTACAAAGTACAAACTCATTATGATAGTCTATATGCTTTGATGGTAGTCATGGTGTTGCAATATAGGTTGCTATATGTTTCCTCTCTTGAGAAACAAAAGCAGCGCCTTATAAGAACATGAGTTGCGCTTGTTGTAAATTGCGACAGGATAAGTCTGAACTATATATAGTTCTGCTTAAAATAGGCGTGAATTTAATGTTCGTTGTGTATTGTAGATAAAGATGGAATACTAAAATGCCGCTTACCACAAATTACTTAACATGCGAACATACTTCTAATCAGCGCTGACGATGGCTAACTCTTTATACTAGTGCTTTCTGTCAGTTTAGGGAATTGTGGTTTTGTTGTTTACCTTGGTTGGGGTTATATCATCATCTCCTCATACCTCTATTTTTGAGTTGGTACACTTACTATGATTGTTTGTATTCCCTCGGAGTCATCATGGTGTTCCTGGCAGAACTCGTCTCATGCATCGTGTTCTTCGTTTAGGAACAAAAGCGGCGCCGAATAAAAGCATGGGGGTGCTTATGTAACCAATGGCGGTTTGCAGATAAGTTTGAACCGTATATAGCTCTGCTTAAATGAATCGTTAATAAACATTGAATGACAACAATGCTATTTAACACAAACTAATGGCTGAGCTAGACATGTTTAAACTTATCCAACCGCGATTGACAATCAACTCACATTAATATTAGGGGCACCTATCAGAAGTATGCATTGCATTTGATCAATGGAACTTCAGAAACACTTACCGCCGAGTCTCAGTTTCGAAGGGGTCCGACAGGCACATGGAACTCAAAGCTGTGCGCAGGAAAGGAAGAAGAAAGAGCCGGCGGGTTGACCGGCGGCAAGTAGGCTATGAGTGCTTCAGACGTTCTCATTTGATGTGGTGGGTGTGCTTGCTTTTATTAAGTTCCACACAGAAAAGTCTTCGTCCGCCTCTTCTTTCCACACAATGAAAGAGATTAATTTGGTTTTATCTAACATTCCAACTGGGCTTAACTGTGACACTATTGACTTTTGCTGCAAGCAATTAAATATCCTTTCAGGCCAAGAATCTTATAAGGGATTCTTTGTATCTACTTCTGGTTAACTTTGCTTCTTCTGCCAGTTGCGTCTGTGTTGCCAACCCTCCATTGCTTAACCATTATCATCATATTACAGTATCAGCCAGTGGAGCCTTTCATCTCGAAGTTATGAATACCCAGTTTGAGTAATCTGGCAGTGATGGCAAACATGAAGGTATAGCAGCCAGACTCAACTGCGTTTTTGTGACTGCTAAAAGAAACAATGAAGAAGAAGCTTCATTTGGAACTTGGCAACAGAAGTCATTATTTCTCGAAAATACACAACAGGGAACTAGCTATCTGCACTGTCCCGGGTGCTAGCTTTCCACACATACAGAAAGGATAAATAGCATTCCTAGTTCGTATTAACATTCTCGAACGATGGTGACTTTCAGCAGGACGTTAGTCCACCTCTGAACGCACTCGAAGATGCAAATGTCTCCTTGTTTCAGAGAGTTCTGCTCTGCAAATTCAAGCCAGCCGTCGCTGAAGTACACATACTTGTCCTTCGTGAACCTAACTAGTGCCACTGGCCAAGTTTTGTCCGCGACCTGAAGCTTCACTGACTTCTCGTCTTTCCTAATGTGCCTGACTGAAAAGCCTGCTGGTAAGTACTGAAAATTCAAAGACCATGAAGAGTTCATGTTATGCTGTATTCAAGAGTTAAGAAAACAAACACAAATCTAAAGCAGCAGTTCTTATCACACTACTGTTCTTAGCTGAGAAATACTCAGCCGAGTATACAACGTACCAATTGCTTCCTTGACAAAGTACTAGAAGTCATCCGGCAGTCGAAAAATGGATGTGGTGAGGTGAATCCAGTGATAGGCTTACGTCCCCTCACAAATGGAGGCTCTTCATGGATCATCTCATCACCTCCTTCTTCCTCTTTGACTCCCAACTCCACCGAATTGCCTACATTGTACGATAACACACAAAGGAAGAACCCACAAGAATCACAAGCCAACACTAGCAGCGAGAACAAGTTTTGAAAGTTACACATCTGAAAGAAAGTGGAAGAACACTCACTTCCAATCCCTTGTGCAGATGATTCATGCCCTTCTGCACTTTCCTTACTGCAACTCTCCATCCTCACTTTGCCATTTCTAGACGAACTACCCCGCACATTCTTCTTCTCGTTCTTCCTACCGCGAGACTGCGAAACCTCGACTGGGGACTTACCCTTGCTTCTTTGGGGCGCATCCACTTCATCAGAGACATCTTCAATCACCTCAACTTTTGGTTCAAGTAAAAAACTTCCAGTTTCATCAGCAGGCTGCTGGTTGCTAGCAGTTCTAGTGATCGGGTACACAATCTCAGCAGCCGTTCTATCACAAATAACTACATAGAAACTGGAGCAACCCTTGTACTCAAAAACCAGGAAATGCCCATATCTCAATGAGTGAAATTCTGCAAAATCTTGCCATCCATTCCTAAACCAGACCCCAATTTCATCCCTCACCAGACCCACCGTCCAGCTCAGCCCACTTGGGACCTTCAGAATTGCAGAGTTCGACAAACCCTCCCCGCAATTTGTAACGAAGCTCGAAGGAATCAACTGCGAAATGAAGCATGCATGTTGAGAATGAAAGATTGAAAACCCCCCCCAAAGCCAGCTTCCAGTTTTGGCTGAGTGTGGGTAAGAAATGGGGAGGGAGAGAATTTGTGCTTACGAGCTTCTTGTCGCGAACGGTTTCCTGGAGAATGATTTTGAAGAAACGGGCTCCGACCAGGTTGCTGCCGTGGTCGTCGGGTCTCCGTTCACCGGAAGAAGTCATCTTTGACTCTGAAGGGAACAGCTTGGCCCTTCTCGCAGTCTGGTTCTGCTTTCTATTAATCAGAGAGAGAGGAAGACGACGGAGATTGTGCCATATGGCCTAAAAAACGCGAGGCAAATGGCAGAGGAAAATTGGAGTGTCGGTAATTGGTCTTCCCAGTTCGAACGGGACGGGAAAGGAAGGTGCTTGCCGACGGCGGTTAGCTGTTCTCCGGCCGGTCAACAGAAAAGGAGCTTGCAACTATTACCGTTGGGCTCTTTCATAGGGCCCAATAAAGTGGGCTGCCTCATTCGCACCGCGAGGTACAGTTTAAAATGGGCTCTTCAACGCCTTGGTACATAATTTTGGCCCATAAAATTACCAACTCATCTACAAAATTACAAGGTTTAACAAAAATAGAAAAGGATAAATTTGATTTTTTTTCTTCCATTTTCTAATTTCTTAAGCACCGTATGTAGGGGTGTTCAAATGGTTACCATGGTTATAACCAAACCAAATAAGGCTAAATTCCATTAACCATTGAATACAATATCATAACCAAACCGTCCAAACTAATACAACAACCAAATTAACCAAACTAAAGTTTAATCGGTTTGGTTAATTGGTTAACCAGATTAACCAATATAAAATCACATTATCATTGACGATGAAAATTTTCGGTTAATGCAACAATTCGTAATTTATATAATGAATAAAACATAACAATCAACACGTAGTTATAGTTGACCCTTAACAAAAATACATGCAACTAAGACAATTATCTTACAATTAGTATAGAAGTATTCACCTAACAAAAAATTATGACCATGGTATGGGTTAATGAATTGTTGTGTTTGTGTAAATTGACTTAGTCTCTAAGCAATTATCATAGGCTAGAAATGACCTTCCTTTCAAGTTTTCATCCGTCATAATGTATGAAATTTATCTAAATTAGGCGTTCATATTTTGTGGTCTACATTTTACATATACAAATATACACTATATGAGCAATATTGAGCTTTATATTTTATGAGTCTAAAAGGGATGAACGTTAACTCTTGAGTGGTTATGCAAAGTATTAAGTATGTGTATATAATATATGTTAGATATATGACTAATTACTTAACTGGTTAATTTGGTTTGACTGGTTAGGAGTGTCTGAAACCAAACCAAACCACCTAAACCAAACAAGCTAAAAACTTTAACCAAACCAAACCAATTATCCAAATTAACTAAACCAAATTATCCAAATAGTACTGGTTAAAACGGTTACCATGGTAACCAAACCGTTTGAACACCCCTAACCGTATGACAAAAATGTGGGAAATGCAGGTCCTACTGAAATTTATTCTTAAAAATGATAATTAATACTAATTTAGTAATTAATTAGGCGGCTGCTGTTTGGTGGACCCCACATTTCCCCCATAATCATAATTTCAGAAATACTCCAAACCTGACACTAGTGCTTCCTTTTAGCCATTTTCAGCAAACACTAGCAGGTTCCAAGTTTCCCACAGATCTTTCAGGCAAATTTTCATCTGCCTTGAGAATTCATTCAACAAAGAGGCAACCATTTCCCTTGTCCATTTTCTCTCTGCGACAGTTCCTTTCTCTCTTCTCCTATTCTTCAAACCCACCAAAGAAACAACCAGTGCTTCTCCTTCAAAATAAACCAACTATGACGTATTTCCTGAAACAGCTCACTGAAGATTCCATCACACATGAAAGACTGGTAATCCCATTAAAGTTCTGTCCTTTTTCATGTTCAAAGGTTAGGGTTCAATTTTTTTTTTTTGTCTCTGTTTGTGCATCAGCTGATTCCTGCGGAGTTTGTGAAGAAATGTGGGAGAGAAAATCTGACAAACCCACTAGTGGTGGAGCCAACCGTTGGTGATCCAAGGGAGAGGGAGCTGGAGCTCTACGAAGATGGTGGCGTGCTTTGGCTGAGGAATGGCTGGCAGGAGTTTGTGGATCACTACAAACTCAGCCATGGATGTTTTCTACTGTTTGAGTACAGGAGCTACTCGAGGTTTAAGCTTTTGATGCTTGGTGCAAATGGGCTGGAGTTGGAGCTTCCAGTTTCCGGTTTTGTCAATGTTGGATTGAATGGGAACCAGGAGTTTCCAGAGGATGAAGAGGAAGAGAGTGTCGATGCTAATTCTGTGGAGATCTTAGGTCGCTTGTCCATTTTCAACTTTTGTTTTCTACAGCAAAACCCTTGCTGTTGTTTTTGAACCTCTTTTGTGTTTGGGGTTTATTTGTGGCTTTGTTTTTCTGGTGCTGAGGTGTGTGCAGGCTCATCAGTAGTTAAGGAGATGAACAATAATGTTGAAGGTGGCGGAAGGCAGCCAGCTCAGCCGCGTTGTGCAGAGAATGCCAAGCAAAATGGGGTCATGAGTGCTAGTAAGTGTTAGATCTTTCAACTCAGTACATAAAAAGGGAATAAAGAAACACCAATTTGATACTATAGTTTCATCGATCTCTGTAGGGAAGAGGCGAGCAGCTGATGATGGAGAGTGGAGGAAAGCGAACCAGGAAGGTCCAAGGGCAAATAGAGCTAATGGAAACCCCTTTAGAAGGGATAAGGCTGAGAGCTCTCGTATTCCTTCCATGACTGAGCATGAAGGTAACATAATTTTTGCTTTCCAGACTTTACCAAAACTGAAATGTGCTTTCTGTTTAGGATGCTGTGAAAATGTTTGTTGATGCATGGATATAATTGTGACAGATGAGCCAGCTTTCTCTAGGAGACCTTCAAACGCAAAGCCTGGCGGACCTACAACTACTGTAGATGAAGATTATGCAAGACTCCTAAGTGCTTGTCATGACAACCCCCCCCCCCCCCCCCCCCTTTATGTTTTGAATCTCTTTGTTTTTTTTTTTTCTGGTTTACATGGTTTGATTTCTGTTGATATTTGCAGGGTTATCTATGATGAAGGACATGAATCACAACAATAGTGAAGGCAGTGGAAGACAGCAGGCGCATCAGTGTTTGGCCGAGAATGCCAAACACAAAGAGTTCATGAGACCCACTGGCAGTGAGTGTTGTTAGTTCAGCATATAAAAGGTGAAGAAAGAGCTCAAAGTTTATTATACTTTCTTCAGTTTCTGCAGGCAAAAAGAGAAGAACAACTGAGGGTGCAGAGCAAATGAGAGTGAATAGGAGAGCTACAAGGAGAAACGGAGGTAACGGGAGCCCCTCTGGAAGGGATAAGGCTGATAACTCTCACATTCCATCCATGGAAGGTACAAACTCTTACTTTCCAAATTTCAAACACTGAAAAATGTGCTTTCTTCCAAGTTTTACAGATGGATGAATGTATTTATCACAGATGAGCCAGCTTTTTCCAAGAGAACTTCCAGCTCAAAGTGTGGTAGAACTACCACAACGGATGAAGCTGCAGATGAGTTGACTTCACAGCCAGATTTCTGCCAAGTCATTATCCCGAAAAGTTTCAAGAAAGGAGGTAGCCTGGTAAGTTGTCACAGACAAACAAACAAACCGTGCTTTGTTATAATGGTTCGTCTAGGCAAACAACCAGATTTCCTTTTCTTTGTTTCTCTTTGCAGTGGATTCAGCGAGAGTTTATTCAGAGGCACATCACAAATTGGATTGGGAAAATGGTGGAGCTTCAGGTAGGAGAAGAAAAATGGCATGTGAAAATCATCCAAAAAGCCGACGGTTGCCCTTATCTATCCAAAGGCTGGCCAGCATTTGCACGTGATAACTCTCTGAAAGCAGAGGACACTCTTATATTTGTGCCTACTACCACTGCAGATGTGCTCAGCGTTCACATTTTGCGTTGTTCTTAGCCGATTACTGCTTGTTAGCTTAGCTGAGAAGTTGGAATTTCAGTTTAGGTAGCTTTTGAGAATGGTTGTCATGGTTGGTAAGTAGTTAAGGGACTCAGTTAAGTTTCTGATCATGTTGCTAGTCCTCTGTTGGATTCTCACAAAAGCTGATGTTGATTTTACTAGGCCCATCTAGTCCGTGTTCTTGAAATTCATCTGAAATCTGTTCCATCAGAAAGAATCTGTTGTGCTAATAGCCATTACTAAATGCTGAGGTAGAACATCTAGTTTGTGTGTATGGTTTACAAGTAAAATTTGCAGTACGGATGAGAAGAAACTAAACAGCACCTGAAAGAATCGTGAACTGCTTTTGTTGTCGATGACGGTGAGATAACTTTCAGCCATCTTGCACTTGAACTCAAAGCTGTGTATGTAGTAATTAACATTCTCGAATGACAGTGACTTTCAGCAAGACATTAGTCCACCTTGGAACGCACTCAAAGATGCAAATGTCTCCTTGTTTCAGCAGGTTACCCTCTGCAATTTCAGGCCAGCCCTCACAGAAGTATACATACTTGTCCTTCATGTACCTACACAGTGCCATTGTCCAAGTTTTATCCGTGACCTGAAGTTGACTTCTCGTCTTCCCCAGCGTGCCTAACTGAAAAGCCAACGGGTACATACTGCAAATGCGAAGACCATGAGCAGTTCATGTTATATTGCATTCTAGAGTTCAGAAAGCTAACACAATCCGAAAGCAGCCATTCTCATCACACTACTGCTTCACAATCCCCTTTATTCTTGGTGAAAAAAGTTTATCTGTTGTTCTTACTTCTAACTTAGTCGTGAATTGGATAGCATCAACAAGTCAATGGAAGTCAAAAGATCAACTACTAACAATCTATTCTGTTCAGCAGGAAATGAAAATGATCCATAATTAATGAGGGGCCGCGCTATGTTGGCCTGTGATGGGAGTGGGACACGAAATTTCCTACTATCAGAAATGCTCCGAACCTGACACACCTTTGCTTCCTTTTAGCCATTCTTAGCAAACAATAGCAAGCTCCAAATTTCCCAAAGCTCTTTCAGACAAAGCTTAATCTGCCTTGGACTCATAGCAGCAAAGGCAAACCCATTTCCCTTCCTCTCTCCTCTTCCATTCTTCTCCTTTCTCTTCTTCCAACCCACCAAGAAAACAGCAAGTGCTTCTCCTTCAGAAAACTACTCCGATGACGACCCATTTCCTGAAGCAGCTCACTGAAGACACCATCAAACACAAGAGAATGGTGAGCCCTTCCCAAAAGTTCTGTCCTTTTTTTCATGTTCAAAGATTAGGGTTTTGTAAAGCTTGTTCATTTACTTGTCAAAGTTATGTCTGTCGTTTATCGATCAGCTGATTCCTGGGGAGTTCCTCAAGAAATGTGGGAGAGAAAATTTGTCAAACCCAGTAGTCCTGGAGCCAACAGTCGGAGATCCAAGGGAGAGGGAGATGGAGCTCTACGAAGATGGTGGCGGGTTTTGGCTGAGGAATGGTTGGCAGGAGTTTGTAGATCACTATAAACTTAGCCATGGATGTTATCTGCTGTTTGAGTACAAAAGCTATTCAAGGTTTAAGCTTTTGATGCTTGGTGCGAATGGGCTAGACTGGGAGTTTCCAGCTTCCAGTTTTGTCAACGGTGGATCAAATGGAAACCAGGAGTTTCCAGAAGCTGAGGAGGAAGAGAGTGTATATGCTCATTCTGTCGAGATCTTAGGTAACTTGTCAATTTCAACTTTGTTTTCCTACTAGTTTATAACAAACAAAAAAAAAAAAAAAAACCTTGCTGCTGTTTTGAACCTCTTTGTGTTTAAGGTTCATTTATGGCTTGATTTTTTTGTTGCTGAGGTGTGTGCAGGCCCGTCAGAGGTTAAGGAGATGAACAACAATGATGAAGGTGTCGGAAGGCAGCCAGCCCAGCGGCGGTCTGCAGAGAATCCCAAGCAAAAAGGGGTTACGAGTGCTAGTAAGTGTTGTTCGTTCAGCTCAGCACATAAACCGGGAAGAAAGAAACACAATTTAATCATATTTTTCATCTATCTCTGCAGGGAAAAGGAGAACAGCAGATGATGGAGAGAGGAGGCAAGTGAAACAGGATGCTCCAAGGAGAGATAGAGCTAATGGAACCCCCTTTGGAAGGAACAAAGATGAGAATTCTCGTATTCCTTCCATAGCTGAGCAGGAAGGTACATAATTTTTGCTTTCAGAACTTTCCGAAAACTGGAACTTTCTTTCATTTTAAGGAGTAGTTAAAAATGTTTGTTGATGCATGGATATATTTGTGACAGATGAGCCAGCCTTTTCTTGGAGACCTTCCAGCTCAAAGCCCAGCAGAACCACAACTACTGAAGCTGTAGATGAAGATTTAGCAAAATTCACTGGTGCTTGTCATAACAGACGCTATTTATGTTTTGAATCTCTTTGTTCTAACGGTTTACATGGTTTGATATCTGTTGAGTTTTCAGGATTCTCTTTGATGAAGGACAAGAACTACAACAACAACAATAACAACAATGGAGATGGTGGTGGAAGACAGTCGTGGTTCGCTGCGAATGCCAACCACGAAGAGTACAAGAGAACCGGTGACAGTGAGTATTGGTTCAACACATAAACATGGAAGAAGAGCAACATTTTGATCATACTTTCGTCAATATCTGCAGGGAAAAAGAGAAGAACAGCTGAGGGTGGACAGAATGTGAAAGTGAACAAGGAACCTCCAAGGAGAAGCAGAGCTAACGGAAGCTCAAGTCCGTTCATGTTTGCACGTGAAGGTACGCAATTTTTCCTCCCAAGCTTTCGGGAACCGAGATGTGTTTTCTTCTAAGTTTCTTACAGAGTAATGTATGAAATTTAAGTTGTCTTATATTCTCTGATAGTCGAAAGTGCTTCTATGGGACCTCCAAGCTCACGGCACAGTAGACCTACAATTGAAGCTGCAGATGGGTTTGCTTCGCAAACTGATTTTCTCCAAGTCATTATCTCAAAAAATTCTTTGGCAAAGAAAGGCTTGGTAGGTCGTCACAAACAAACAGTGTTTTATTGTAGTGGTTCATCTAGTGTATACAACTGAAAAAGTTTCTATTTGCAGAGGATGCAGGGAGGGTTTGTTGAGAGGCATATCACCAATTGGAAAGATAAAATGTTGGATATTCGGGTTGAACAAGAGACATGGCCTGTGGGAATTGTATCAGACCACGGTGTTCCTACTCTTTCTAGAGGCTGGTTAGCATTTGCGCGTCAGAACTCTTTAAAAGTAGGGGACACTCTCATAATCGTGCCCACAGCCACTGAAGGTGTTCTGACAGTTCATATTCTGCGTTGTTCTTAGAGAGAAGCTACTTGCTAGCTGGAAAGTTGGGTTGTTTATTTAAGTGGGGTTCGAGAATGATTATCACGGTAGGTTGTTAAAGGAGTCTGTTTAGTTTCTGATCATGTTTGCTAATCCTCTGCTGAATATTATCAGCTTATGCTGTTGTTTCTCTTTACCTAATGCTAAGGAATGTGTCTGATATGTAGAACTAAACAGCTGGGACGATTCTAGATTGCTAAAGGAAACTGTTCAGTTTCTGATCATGTTGCTAATCCTCTGCTAAATGTTGTCAGCTTATGTTGGTGTTTCCATTAACTATGGTTTGTGAATGCTTTTGATATGCAGAATGAAACAGTTGGGAGTTGATTCTAAAATCTAACAAAGGCTTAAATCATTGATGTTCTTCTGAGAAATGTGTTCCTTCAGAAAGAATTTGTTATGCTAATAGCCATTACTAAATGCTGAGCTAAAACTTCTGCTTTGTCTATATGACGTGACAAGTAAAATTTGCTATAGGGATGAGAAGAAATTAAACCGGCGATCTGTTAGCAAGCAAAAGGCTGAAGCTTTTGATTAATGGCTGCCTTAGTCCAGCCCAAGAATATAGGAAAATCAAGTCGAAGCTATAAAAACTCTCCTTTTCTTATGTCCTTTCTCAAGCAGGTTTTAGACTGCTTTAGGCTATACTGTTGACAAAGCAGAATGGATAAACATGAAACCTATAATTCTGAATAACTCTTCATTTCAAAAAGTATTCAGGGAACTTACAATCATGCTAATCATAATTCCAAGATGACATTGAAAAGGAAACAGAATCAAGTACAGATACTGACATTATACAACATTATCTGAAAATTTGAGGTACCAAAGAAAGTTCTCCAGAGCTGTGTTTGATTGTCTCAAGCAGATTTCTCAGCTTCTTCGGCTGCTTCTTCCTCTCGCAGCTTGATCAAAGACGGAGGTGGTCTGACAACAATGCTTTTCTTCCATTGCCGGTCAAGCTTTCTTGATAACCTCTTGTTGATACCCTCTTCAAGCTCTCTCTCACGCTTAACTGTTAACATGCGTGCAATCTGCATTCATGGATTGAAAAGAGAGGAACTCAGTCTTTCACACACAGAATGTTCTGAAATCAAAGTTTGAATGTATCTCACATCTATCGTGCAAATTGAACCATCGCTAGTAAAACAAAAACATGGTTCAGCCGGAAAATACTCCGGAAGCTCGCCACTGCTTGGCGAAGATCTCATGGAACAGTAATTCATCATTCAACTCTATCATAACCTTATCAAGACGACAAAGCTACGTAACTCCTTAAACCTGCAAATGGATTGGCCAGGAAGCATAGTATCTGCTACAATGCATCTTTTATGCCAACCACCTGTGATGACCAGTAGGCTATTTCTATCCCTGGTAGCAGATAAAGCTCATTTGATCCCTACATTGCAAAGATTAGGCAGACAATAAAAGCCACTAAAGCATGGATTCCAAAATTCTTTGAGTCAGATAGACATCGATGATGACATAGATCTCAAGGGTATCATAACAAGTTAAGCTCGGGCATCATAGTTACCATCAATCCTCAAATTCTCGCATCAAAGCCTCAATTTACCAGAATGCTTTTCCCAAACCAATGTTAACCCTCTAAAATTAAGCTACCAAGTTCCAACTTCCGAAACCTAAAGCACCAAAATTTCATCAATTCAGACCTGGCCACCATTGCCGAGAAGCTAACAGCTAACAGCTAACAGCAAATACCACTTCCAAATCACTCCACCATTCTTTCCAAACAAACAGTACTCTTTACCCTCTATCCAAAGCCTTCTCAAAACCAAACACATTTCCTATGAGACAATGCTAGAGAAACGAAGGAGAAAAAGGGTACCCTTTTGCGCATACGGCGGAACTCGCTGGACTTGAACTCATTCCTGACCGACTTCTGCAGGCGAAGCATGAAGAGCTCACCTTTAAGGTCAACAACCTGGTCGTTGATCTCGTCGGTGGTCAGTCCTCTGATTTCCTTCAATTCCTCGTCCTTCTTTGCCATCATCACAACCGACGCCGCCGGAGTCCCGGCGGCCCTGTACGCCGTCCGGGGGCGAACTCGAAGCGGCGGGAGAAGGCATGTTTGGTTGAGTTGGATGCCGGCGAACCCGGATTTCGGAAGTGGAAGGAAAGGTTTGGGAAGTGGTGTAGCAATTGAGAGACTCAACATTGTTTTGCTTTTTTGGTGCTCTCTGGTTAGAGAGTTGGTGATTATGCTCTGAGCCCAACCTCTGTCTCTCTCTGGAGAATAGAGATACGAGATATGGTTCTGGTTCCCTATCCTATTCTTTAGAAAGAAAGGGTAAATTACAAAAACGGTCACTAATCTTTTCGGGTCGTCCACAAATCGATCACTGAACTTACATTCTCGAAAACAGTGGATTCGTTAATTATCATCGTTAGATTTCGAGGCCAAGTTGATATATGTATTTTATTATTCAAATTTTGAAAGTTTGACATGTTAATCTGGACTATTAAGAGAAACTTAACGGTCAAAATGACTAGATGATTATTTCAATCTCGCAATGACAATGACTTAATTTTGTTTCTTCATTTTATCTTTGTCTTCGCGGCAAATACTTACGTCTTAGATTCGAAGAAACAATACGTTTGTGTATGATATTACGATAAAAAGTCGTGAACAACCAAATGAAGTAGCATAATTGTGTAACCCTCCACTCACAAATGCTTATGGAGATGAAGCATCATTCAGAAGTAGGCTCCTTGATATCCTCTGTTTTTTGAACAACTTCCTCTGCTCATACCGTCATACGTAATAATGCCTTCCGGACTAGTTAGTTTATCAGTGAAACGCACCCATAAAAATCCTCCACTATTTGCAGTTAGAACAGGTTAGTTTCTCTGTTGAGCGAGCTAGAGGTAAAAAGTGCATGAAAGGCTAATTCTTTCGAACAAGGAAAGGATCCAAATCACGGTGAATGGAGTAGCAAACAAGAAGAAAGTAAACTACGAGCCCAACAAATCCTGCCACCAAGGCTGCCGTCGTCTGGCTGCAGTATTTGGGAATCTGGTTACACACAGGCAACCAACCAGCATGAGAGTTGCCTTTCTTCCCAACTTGTGCAATCGCCAGAGCTGCCGAAATGCTCGACACAAGCAGCATCGTCAGCACCTAACAATAAGAACAAACAAACAACAACAACAAGAGCATAAGATAGCAATCTAAACCTTGGTGCTCACAGTATTCACATACAAATTTTGTTGTCAGCATACCAAATCAAAGACCAAAACCAGCCTCCAGAGCTGGCTCTCGGAAGGAAGAAACAGGACTAGGAACCCGTAAATTGTCACCACCACATTAGCAATCACAAAGTATCTGGAAAACAGAGGATTTGAGAGTTGTGTTTGTATATTATTGTAGACAGGATTGCATGAAAATGGCTAACTTACTTGAAGGCAGGGGTGTCAGAGTACTTAGCTTCGTAAGATACGGCTCCAAAGATGGAGCCTTTCTCGTGGCTCGACGCCATTACGACGGCTGCGATAAGCGTGGCGATCAAGGCAATGAGCCTCGTTGCCAAAATGACGGTGGCTCTTTGAGACATGGCCATGACTAGGGGAAAATGAAGGGAAGTTGCTTGCTTTTGCTCACCCCCACCTTAGAAATATGTAAATTGCTTGAATTCTTCCAATTTTGTCATTTTTCTTTATGGTTGTGTTAGTTGGGGTTTCCCATCTGTTTTCAGCCACCACTGGGCAGCAGAAATGGCTTTTTGTTGTTGGTTTCTTTCCTCCCCTGTTTTCTGTGACTTGTAGGAATGATCAAGCTCAACTGCTAGGAACCTGTGTTTGACCTTCTGAACACATTTCTTCTAGGAAAAGGAAAAGTGAAGGAGAATTGGTTAGTTGGTAGGTTGGAGTTACTGCCTAAACGATGTCATGAAGGTAAAAGTAGGTGAAAGTAAATTTGAACACCCTAAAATGACTAAAAGTTAAGAAAGCAGCCATGGTTTTACAGCGGACTAAATCTGTTACTTTAGGGCAAAGCTATTATCTTTAAGATAAAAAAAAAATAGAAATGAAATACCCATTGCAGAACACAGAAATGAACTTCAGTGTAGTTATAGAGCTGCCACCATGAGGAGAGCAGAAGAAAGGGAGGAGAAAAAGAGCTGCCTGCAAACCATGGAAAGCTTTGGAATGAAGGATGGTAGGCAGAACAAGAAGGCAAAACCAGCCTTTGGGATGATACGCAGAGGAAATGCTTCTGATATGGAGAAGATGAAGCCCCATTTTTTCAGGGTCATGCTTGATTTCATGCTGAAAGATGCCAAAATTGTAAGAACTCTTTTTTTTTTTTTTGCTCCTCTGTGATGCTTTCTGATTCAACTGGTGATTTTTCTTTGTCTGCAGTAGTTTCTGAAGTTTTGTTTAGTCTGGTTGTCAAACCTATCGCCAAAGCTGAGAACTTTTGTCTGTGCTTGTTTAGGGTTTCATAAAAGAAGCAAATGTGTAGAATCTAGTTTGCAGCTAGCTTTGTTTTATTGGTCTCCATTGCTTTGGCAATGGGTTTTTGTTTTCCCTTTCTGATCAAGTAACCTGAAATAAGAACTGACTAAATGTTGTTTCGGTATCAGTACATTCCTACTGAGTTTGTGAAGAAATATAGATCCAGGCTTGGCAGCTCTGCAACTTTGAAGGTTGCTAATGGCGATACATGGGAAGTAGAGCTGGCTACTGATGATGATGGGCTGATTTGGCTAGTCAAAGGCTGGGAAGACTTCACAGAGCACCATTCTTTGAATCAAGGTGATATTGTGGTGTTCCGGCTAGAGCAGGACAGCTTATTTCTCGTAATGGTGTTCGAGCCCACTGCCAGCGAGAAGAAGTTTCGTTGCAAGGATGTGAATGGCCTTGGAAGGATGTTCAATGAGGTCAAAGTTGAGGAGGAAATTAATGTGGGGAAAGAGACAGGTTGGAGGACATATGAAATTTTACAGCTCATTGTATTGTTATGTTCATGTTGAACAGAAAGTTCTGAACCTGAAAGACTTAACGCAGAAATTTGTTTCATTCCGTGGACCATTTCCTGCAGGGAAGCTCAAGGAAGTGAAAACCAAGAAGAGTGGTGGAGAAGGGAAGAGAAAGGTGAAATTGGCTGCTCCATTGGAGACAAATATGAGAGGTAACATTTACTATATGCTTTGTTTTCTTCATGCTGTGAGTTTTTAACCTTCCCAAATGGGTAAGTTTGCCAAGGCAGATTGAGTTTTGTGTTTTCCTTTGTCAGATTGATACATTGTGATCGATATAGCCTCGGTAATATGTAATTTCGATGGAAAAAGAGAGTTGAATGCTTTCATTCCATAGTTCATATCATGACTCCATTTGATGCAGGAACACTGGGACCAAGGAGGGGCAATGCCTCAACAAGCTCGACGAATCCAAGCTTCTCTATTACGATGATGGAATATAACATGAAGAAGCACTTCACAGTAAGTTGATTAATTCTTATCGAAAGGATACAACTTCGATTCTAAGCAGGTTTCGTTTGGACCTTGATGGATCACTCTCTCTCTCTCACTGAATGTGCAGGGTTTGCCGAGTGCTTTTGTGTTTAACCACATGAAGCCTGAAAGTAGTAATGTGAAGGTTTCTGCTGAAGACGGGTCTGGTTCATGGGACTTGTCCTTTATCTTTAGTGTATGCCATGGACGCACCAGTGGACGGGGCAGTTTTGCTGGTGGTTGGACCGTGTTCCGTAGGGACAACGCTCTTGAACTAGGAGACGTTTGCTGGTTCGAGCTCATCTCCGATGGCCAAATGAAGGTGACTATCGAGAGACATTAAGGCTCTGGTTGGTTTGCTTGTGTTTGAAGCTTTGTGGTTTAGGGATTTAATGGGACAAGTACTATAATTCGGAGAGTGGCTAAGGCTTAAGCCTTTGTTAGTATTGGGATCTTGAAGTTCCCCATGAATTGTGTTTGATAGCTCAACAGTGATATGTGCTCTGTCGAAGCTTCGGACCTTGTTGGAATGGAGTTGGTTGTGTTTTAGGGATGATCATCTAAGATTGCGAACAATTTGTTATCGTCGGGGGACTAATGGATGGTGTAATTTAGGGGCGTGCTAACTGCTAAGGCTTCGTCAATCCGCGACATAAACATGTGCTTAAAAGAATCTTGTAAGTATGCTAGCCAAATTGATGATCAATAATAATCACAATCATAAACAAGATAACTTTCAATCTAGTCAAATAGCAGAACTACTATCAGAAAGTAACTTGATAACAGAGTTTTGCCATGGAAAGCCATAAAGCACAACTCATGCCTTGCTTCAGAAACCAAAACAAAGCATCAACAAACGTCTTACCACTCCCTCCCACATGAAACTACACTATCCCATTAATTCCTTTAACGAAAAGCTGTAGTGGTTTCATAAGCTTCATCATCATCCATAAGTAAACACACACAACGAACAAACACAACAAACTCCATTCTAGAGGTTCTCAAACTTTCAGCAGATGCAACCATCCTTAAGCCCTCCGAATACTCACTTTCATTTGGCCATCGGAGATGAGCTCGAACCGGCAAACATCCCCTGATTTCAAAGAGTTGCCTCTGCGGAGCGCGGGCCAACCGCCAATGAACAAGCCCTGTCCACGTGCACCTCCATGTCGTTGATGAAAGACAAAGGACAATGACCATGAGTCGACCCCGTCTTCACTCGAAATCATCACAATACGACTTTCAGGCATAGTACCACGTGCAGGTATCATGTGTTCATACACAAATTTAGTAGGCAGAAGCTGCACATTCAAAGAGAGAGGCAGCTTTCAAATTTGGTTATGCAAAGCTTCCTTGAAAAAATGGTAAATTCGTTTGATGGAACTGAATGAACCTACCATGTAACGATGTGTCATGTGTGCTTCACTGATGGTGATGAAGAAGTTTGGATTGTCTGAGCTCGTAGAGGCATTGCACCTCCTTGGTTGTGATATTCCTGCATCAAATTTGGTCGAATTTTGAGCTCGTGGGAGCATATGTAAAATGCATCAATCGACAATGCAAGCATTCAATTTCACTCTGTTGATGGAAAAGCAAAACTACATATTTGACAAGGTGAAAAGCTAGCAGAATAAAAGACCAAGCATAAGTAAATGCATCAATCGAGAAGGAAACATAACCTCACTCTGCCAAAGCAAAACTTTATCAAGTTTGGGAAGGTAATAAACTCGTAGCATGAAGAAAACAAAGCAAGCAAATAGTAAATGTTACCTTTCACTTTTGTCTCCAATGGATGGTTTGGAATCTCAAATGGAACAGCCAATTTAACCTTTCTCTTCCCTCCACCACTCTTCTTGGTTTCGATTTCCTTCAGCTTTCCAGCAGGAACTGGTCCATGGAAAGAAACGAACTTCTGCATTAGTCTTTCATGTTCAGAACCTTCTGTTCAACAGAGAAAAAAAAATACAATGGCCTGTCAAATTTCCTATTTTCTCAAAAGTTCCACTACCTTTCTCCTTCCCAGCATCACATTCCTCCTCAACTTTGATATCATTCAACAGCTTTCCAAGGTCGTTTACGTCCTTGCAGCGGTAGTTCTTCTCGCTGGCAGAGGGTTCGAAAATCATGACTTGAAATAAGCTGTTCTGCTCTAGCCGAAACACCAGAATATCACCTTGCTTCAAAGAATGGTGGTTTGTGAAGTCTTCCCAGCCCTTGACCAACCAAATCAGCCCATCATCATCAGCAACCAGCTCTACTTCCCAAGTATCACCATTAGCAACCTTCAAGGTTGCAGAGCTCCCTAGCCTAGATCTATAGTTCTTCACAAACTCCGTAGGAATGTACTGACACAAAGCAACAATTTGTCAGTTCTTGGTGCCGGTTACTTTTTCAGATGGAGAAAACAAAAAAAACCATTGTCAAAGCAATGCAAGCAAACAGACGAAAGCTAGTTACAAGCCAGATTCTACACATTTGCTTCATCTTTTTTGAAACCCTAAACAAGCATAGACAGAAGTTTTCAGCTTTGGAAGTAGATTTGACAACCAGACTGAAGAAATTCATAAAACTTTGCAGAGAAAAAGAAATCACCAGTTGAATCAGAAAGGGATCACGGGGGAAAATGAGTACTTACTATTTTGGAATCCTGCAACATGAAATCAAGCATGACCCTGAAGAAATGGGGCTTCATCTTCTCCATAGCAGAAGCATTTCCCCTGCGTATCATCCCAAAGGTGGTCGTCGTTGCCTTCTTGTTCTGCCCACCATCCTTCATTCCAAAGGTTTCCATGGTTTGCAGCAGCTCTTTTTCTCCTACCTTTCTTCTCTCCTTCTTTACCTTATGGTTGCTGCTCTAAAACTTGCTGAAATTTCATTTCCTTGTTCTGCCATTGGCATTTCATTTCTATCTTAAAGATGATAGCTTTTGCCCAGAAGGGCCAGATTGAAACCCTCAAAACCTGGCAGCTTTTCTTAACTTGTAGCCATTTTAGGATGTTGAATTTACTTCCACCTTCTTTCTTTTACCATCATGACATTTCCCGTACTTTTACCAAGAGAGCAGAGTAACTCCAGGTCCAGTAGCAAATCCACTGTGGTCCCAAATAAAAGCGAGAGCAAAAGGAGCTGTCCTCTCCAGCTCTCTATACTTATCGAAGAACTATACCTAATTCAAAACCCAAAATCGACCTCCGATTTCGAAACGAATGGGTAAAAATAAAATACGGTGAAGAGAGACACTGCGCTTACAAGCTTCTTTGTCGCGAACGGTTTCCTGAACAAAATCGATTCTGAGCAATCGGGTCCCGGCCGAATCGCCGCGTCTCCGGTCACCGGAAGAAGTCATATCTTGAATCCGACGAAACCCTTCACCCGTTCCAGTTTCAGATAATGCACTCATTTTGCCCACACGCCACCAAATATGCTGACATGTAAAAATAGTCAGGTAAAGTAACGACAACAAAAAGATATTTTCGGTACCACAAAAATAATAATTATTAAAAAAGGATATTTTCCCATCCTCATACGTGTCCCTAATCCAACGGCTTCCCTCACGACGCCACAATTCCCTCAGATCTTCTTGTCGTTTTCTCCAATCCCGTTACACGCGTCGATCTCACCAATCCTCTCCTACCACGTGTCCGTCGCGAACATCAAGGGATCACTTGCCCAGTAAACGCCACCCATTCACCGCCCGCCACGCGTCCCTTCTCGAGCCGCGTATAAAAACTACCTCCATCGTTTTCTCTCCGGGACGAAGCAACATGGACAACAACACCAAGCGGGTCAGGAGAACCAGCCGACCCGGATCCGACTCGTTCGGCGGCGACTCGGGGATTTTGAACGAGCGCGTCCTCGTCCTGGTGTTCGAGTCGCTGAAATGGGACCTCCACACGCTCACCGCCGTCGCGGCGGTGAACCGGAAGCTCGCGGCGGTGGCCGCGAGGCTCCTCTGGCGGGAGCTCTGCCTCTACCGCGCTCCCCGGATGCTGGCCACATTGACGAGCGGGTCTATTCCCTCCACCGCCGCCCCCGGCGGTCGAATCGACGGCGGGTGGAAGGCCCTCGCGAAGCTGATGCTCTTCTGCTGCGGCTATCGCGGCGGCGGCGGAGGCGACGGGACTGGGTTTCCTTCGCCGTCGAATTCGCCGGGACACGTGGCGAAGGCGTCGCGATTCTCGAAGACGTCGGGGAGGAGCTTCCTGGCGAAGAAGTGCAGGGGGGATTTGCTGTACGTGAGCGACCCGTGCGAGCACCCGGCGGCGGAGGCAGGGGAGGATTTGGGGGTTTACAGGGGAATTTTCCGGGGATTCATGAGGTCCAAAACGCGGGCGTTTTTGGTGAAGCGAGGGGTGAGGCTGGAGGAGAAGGTGAGGTGTCCGTACTGCGGGGCCCGCGTGTGGAGCATGACGGCGGCGAGGCTGGTGCCGAGGAGCGCGGCGAGGAGGCTGGGGTCGAGGGACGGCGGGCTGGAGTACTTCGTCTGCATCAACGGGCACCTGCACGGGATGTGCTGGCTGATACCGCTCTCGTCGTCCGACGAAGATCGGGCGGAGGAGGAAGAAGACGGCGAATCGGATGGCGATGATTGCGAGGGGAAGGAGGAGAACGGGAGCACGAGCTCGTCGAGGGAAGATGTAATGGTGAAGTGATGATTCTGTCTCTCTTTGTTTGGTTTTTTGGGTGTTTTTTTGTGATCTGTAATGGATGAATTAATGTAGGTATTAGGTGATGTAACAGTGGTAGAAGTATAGTTGTGGTAGCTGATGTAACACTCTGTTCGGTTCTTTTCGAACTAACGGGTCGATATCGATCAGGATTGCTTCATTGCTCGATCCGGTAAAGCGCCGGAGTTTCTTGTATGGAGCTTGATTTCATGTCATCCATGCCTGATGCCCCTGCTAACAAAAGCTGCATAGAACGAACAAACACAACAAACTCCATTCTAGAGGGTCTTGAAACATTAAGCACATCCAACTCTATACCAGCATGACACAAGCACATGTCATTGAACTGATCGAGAATGGGAGCATACTCAACAAACTCTGCAACACAAAACAACAAAGCATAGAGTAAGTGTACCTCTCATTCCAGTCTTCGATGGATTGTTTGGTGTCTCAACGTTGGTGGAGAAGGCATCTTCTTCCTCCTCTTCTTCTTCTTCCTCCTCCTCCTCTTCTTCTTCAACTTCCAGCTCAACTCTAAAATCACTCAACAGTCTCCGAATGCCATTCACATCCTTGCAACGATACTTCTCCTCGCCTGTAGTGCGTTCCAACACCATGACATGGAAGAAGCTGTCCTGCTCTAGCCGCAAAACTAGAACATCACGGGGCTTCAAAGAATGGTGCTTTGCGAAATCCTCCCAGCCCTTAATCAGCCAAATAAGCCCATCATCATCAATAGCCAGCTCTACTTCCCATCTATCACCATTAGCGACCTTCAGTGTTACATTGCTGCCTAGCCTGGATCTGTATTTCTTCACAAACTCAGTATGAATGTACTGAAAGAACAAGCACCAAGTTGTTAAGCCTGGATTCCACATTTACACAAAAGAGTGTTAACAGACATTGAAAATGACGGCTCTCCAACTCAAGATTTGCATCAAAGATCGACATACTCTTATTAATAAAGTTGAAGAAGACGCTAGACGTTATGAATGTCTAATTCTCTACCTAAAGTCTAAACGATGAGTTTTTTCGTTGCCTAGCGTACAGACGTTGAGGAACCTTCCTGCATGGCATTGAAATGCTGTAACAAATAAGCTTGCACGTTCAATAAGAAATAGAGATCTTCCCTACAACAATCAGGGTGGCTGGCAGGGATCTAAAACGTGCCAATGAAATGGGTATTATAATCTACAACAGGCTTGCCTAGTTGAGGTGTTTTTACAGCAGCATGAAGAAATTTGAACTTTTTTTCAGTATAGAGACAGACAACCTAGAAAGCAGAATGTTGGAACCTTTTGAGATCAATGTATTCTGCTGTTTAGATACTTTCTCAAGTGAGAATACAAATCTGAGCCCACCCTCTCTACAAAGAACCCAGAACCCAGAGGAGAAAATAAGAGAACAATCAAACAACAAACAAGTATCAACAAATCCATCCATCCCAACCCAACTGCCATGTTTCAGAAGAGTCACGAGGAAGAGCAAAAGAAATAGAAACAGCACCAGCTTTCGCCCAGCCCTGGCTTTTGATCTTCAGCTCTAACTCTCGGATGGATTCGACATTAGGTCCATCACATCTGGGCAAACAAAAAAGAACAATGAGTGGTTCAATACATCATGTTTCTTCGCCTTCTTCAACCGTCGGAAGGCTGCCTTCTCTGGTAAATCCAGGATTTAGAAACTTGGAAGCAAAAACCCATAGTTTGTAAACATCTTCGAAGTTGGTCAGAAACCCTAGCGAGGCAGTGACAACCTCGACTCTTATAAAACCTGATTTTCCGCGACCACCAGTCTCCACCGCCCTGCAAAGGGAAGTAGCGTCTTCAAGGTTCAAGCCACCCTTATGCTGTCTAGGGCCATCCACGATTCGTATGTGACTGAGAAACCCAATGCCAAGAGATATCCCTTCTCTTTCAGCTAGCCTCTGAACAACTTCAGGATGCACAAGCCCCCGGTTTCTATCCCTGATGTTGAAAGCAACTGCAGCACCTCTCTCGTACTTGATCTTCGGTCCATAAATGTGGACAAGATGCATTCCTCCTCCTCCTTCCCCTTCTTCGGCAGTGGGTAATCTCAGTTGCAGCAATGAAGTCACAAGCCAGTTGATCAAAAATCGAAGCCTTAGAGTCGTCTTATTGAGGCCCAACATGTTCACATGATCCAAATGCCGGCAACTTATCTCAGGCTCTCGCCTATCCCAATCCTGCATCCCCTCACCAAACTCACCATCGCTTGTGTACACGTCATTATCATCTTCTAGTGTAGCTATAGATACTTCCCCTGGCTCAGTCACGAGTTCTTTACGACTCTCCTCCGCGCTAAATGACACCCTTCTTCGCCTGCTCGGATGTTCACTCTCATCCACTCCAAGAAATCTACCACCAGAATATCGGATCCCTTCCCTTCTTCCCAGTAACCGAAATTCACCTTCTGTTTCTCTTCTTATAGCACTCTCTATTTTGTCAGTGCCATTATGAAACCCGTTTGCTGGTTCTTCTTCTTCAATCTCGGAAACATGCATATGATTAAGACCCTCTCTCAGGTTTGTATGGCCATACTGCTCTTCTTCAGGAACCTCCTTAACACGGTCGAGCTCCTGAGAAACTGATAAAACCGCAGCATCAAATGACAACACCTTGTCATCATACAGTGGACTGCTGTAGATCTCTGAAGTCAGTTTTGGTGAGTTTCTCTTGTTGTGATTCTTCTTGCTGGAGAACCAAAAAGGTGGCAGCGGAGAGCCAGTTGACTTGTGTTTTGCTGCAGAGTCGGAACCCAACGGGCTCTGGCCCAAATCGATCCAGAACGAATTGTCTGACGATCCATCTTCGCTGAAAACAGGGCTTTTCATCACTTCGCCAACAGAGATGCTTTCTGTTTCTTCAAATATAGTGCTCGTCCCATCTCTATCCGAGTTGTTGTCATGACTCATCTCGGTCTCAAAAACATCGCTCACTTGAGCAGGTGTAAATGCCCCGGAGAATGCAGGCAGCTGCGTCCCTTGACGCGGTTCCGTAGTACCATTTTCATCACTTCCCATAACCTCGTCATCTTCAACACCAGTCGTCCCATCTAGACCATCTACAGAATCACTCAAATAGAGAGGATACTCCGGAGTTATCTTCACTATCCCAGACCCTGTACTGCCAGACTGACGCTGAAGACAACTCATGACAGATTTCTTAATAAGAAGACATCCAAACCCAGTTGGGTCAAACCCAAACACACGGTAAAACGAAGTGATGATGAAATCAGGTCGAAACAACGATAAACCAAGTGAATCCATATCTTTGGGGCCTAATGATCCAGCATCAAGCAACACATGCCAGTTGTTCTGCTGAGCAAGTGCCATCCACTGATAAGAATACTTGGCTCCTGTAACCCTCGACTGCACAGGGAAGACGAATAAACCAGTGGCAGAATCCTTCTTCCGTCTTTTCTTGTTCGAAATCTGCTTCCTCAAATCTGTTGAGCAAAGCTTAAGGGTTGGCCATTTGAACCAAGCACTGTAAACATCTGCACCTTTCTCCTTGGCACTCTGAGCCATCCAATTCACAGACTGACTCTCGTAATCAAACATGGTCAACAACTTCTTATTTGTGTGAAAAGGGTAGGATTCTGCAAGCAATTTGAAAGCAGAACCTCTACTCACCGTAAAAACAAGGCCATATTCATTCTCAGGGATGTTCAAGTAATCCATTATCCTAGCCTTGATATCATATTCCACAGTGTTCTTCTCAGCACCACCATAAAGCGCATGATTGCTCAAATTCGCAGTTATCTCGGACAAGCTAAAAGTGGAAGATTCCCAGTAATGCAGAGTCTGAAGGTATGAAAACAGCCCAAACCCACAGTAATCAAGGCATACCTTGGGAGACAAATGGGTGTACTCATCTGACCTCAACTGATCAACTTTCTCAGAAGACTCGTACTTTGGGTACATAGTGAGGAACTTGGAGAACGACTCATGAAGCTCAGGAATGGAATCTGGGGTCTCGAACACTCGATCTGCAGCAAGGGACGTGGCACGAAGAAACTCCCGCTGGGCGTGAAGCCTCGCCAGCGATCTCGATCGGCCGATTGTTCCTTCGTCTTGGTTGCTTGCAGCAGCGGCCGCCTCGGAATCATCCATGTCCTTGGATTTGACGAGTGACCCATCTTCAGAAGCTTCCTCGAGCGCTTCCCTCAACCTGTGCTCTTGAAGTTTCCGGAGAATTGATGGATTTCTGGAAATCTCGAGATCGGATTCCGACCCATTTTTCCTCTTGCTCTTCTTGTCCAATATGAGAGCAGCGCAGTGGGAAATAGGCTTCCACAGTGACAGATGCATCACACTTGCTACTATCAAGCTCCTTCGGGATGGTCAAGTTTCAGTTCAGCCCATGAAAAAGGGGGGAAATTGAGGATATTTTCGATTCAGTGATCAGCTTGGAAACCCTAGGAGTGGGAAATCAGAGTAGAAAAGTGGGGGAAGAAAGAGGAAAGCCGCTTCCCAGTGAGCGAACACAGATCAGGGGAACTGGAAACTGTATAAAGAATATTTCTTCAAGAATCCAACTTTCTTTTAAAATACAGAGAGGGGCTTGCAATTGGAAGCGGGAATTCGCTTAAAAACGAGTCCCAATTACAGAAAACGAATTCATGAAGAGAAGAAGAAGAAGAAGAAGGGAGAGTCAAACCCTAGAACCCAGATCCCTAAACCTAGCCAAGCAGCTCCGCAACCGCAACACAGTGGCACCGAGTCTCAAAATGGTTTCCTGGGGAGAGGAAAAGGGACAGAGGGTTTCAGCTATAGATTGGACAGAGGAGCTTTTGTTTTTGGTGCATCAGAAGCCAAACCCAGAAGAAGAGGTGAGCAAAGACTCGATTTTTACGACACTAGACCACCATATCCACACAGCTTGATGAAAACGTCTCACTCTTTGTCTCTCTCTCTCTCTCTCTCTCTTACAGCGAATTAAAGAGAAAACCCCCCTCTTCACCCACTTATCAAAGGGACCTCATTTATTGCAGCTTCTTCTTCTCTCTCAGCATTGATATCCCCAAACTTCCTGTCTCTCTCTCTCTCTCTCTCTCTCTCTCTCTCTCTCTCTCTCTCAATTGACTCTCTCTTTCTCTCTCTACTTATCTCTCTCTCATATTCTTCCACCCATAGTTAGTAAAATACGGTACGGGAATGTTACGTATAAAATACGTACGGGTATTTTACTTCGTCTGTATGCTAATGTTACGTTTAATAGTACGTTAATTTTCATAAATATAGAAAAATTAATCATTTTAAAAATAAATAAATATATAAATAATAGTAAAGTTAGTAATTTAATTCATTAAATACGGATATTAAACGTGTTATACGGGTTTTATACGTGTTTAATACGGGAGCCATCAAATGAACGGACAAAAATGAAACGGCTTGACAATAATACGGATACGGAAGTTTTAAACGGATAAAGTACGTACGGGTACATATACGTGTATTAAACGGAGTATTTACTAACTATGCTTCCACCACGATTAGCTCCCTTTAGTTTAAACAGAAACAGGGGGAGGAACGGACATTGACTTTTGGCAAAGCACCAAATGCTGGTGCTGTTACTGTGTTCTTTTCCTCGTCCCTATTCTTTTCAGATTTCCCTCCCAACTGTTCAAGTAATGAAGAAGATCGACATTATTAAGAAAAAGGATGAGCCATGGCGGGCCCAATCTCACTTGGACCCACACCCAATAAGGGGTCTCAATTGCCAGTCCAGGTCAAACAATCAGCTGGCTACTTTCCTCCTTTTTACAAAAGCTGCTTCCTATGCAAAAATCAAAGGCAAATTTGAAAAATGAGAAAGAAACCAAAAGGAGGAAAAAGGAAATCAAAGCATAAGCAGAACTGATGAAAAGATGAGAAACCCTACCATGATGGGATAAAGCAAATTGCTTAGTTGAAAAGTATAATGTATATACCTCATTTGGGTTTCAAATCTTATAGGATTAGCAACAATACGAGTGGATGAAGATGCATTCTTTCTTTTTGCGGCTTAATTGCAAGTTTGGTCACTCGAATTGCTATAAAATTTCACGTTTGCCACTCAAATTAATTTATTCCATTTATAGTCACTCGAATTAGTTGAACAGTTCAAGTTCGGTCACTCTCCGTTAACCTCTGTTAACTTTGACTGACGTGGCGGTCAACTCTGACAGTTGACCGTTAAATGTGTGACGTGGAAAATAAAAAATAATTAAAAAATAAAAAATAAATTTTTAGAAATTACACATATTATCATAAAAAATTATAATTATAAAAAATAAAAGCCGAATGGAAGCAAAAATTCCCAAAATCACTTATCACAGCTTCAGCTTCCCAATTTATTCATTACTGAAAATGGCAATTCGGACCACTATCAGTTCTCTATTCAGCCCTGCTCTTCTCTTCCTGAGCCTCCTGTCCGCCTCCGCCAACTATTCAAACTCGGCGGCGGCATCAGAAGCAGCCGGCGGTGGTATCGGACCATGCTTCACGTCACTGTTCAGCTTCGGCGACTCCGTAAGCGACACCGGCAACCAGATGCTGCTGGGTAAGTGCCCTCACTGTTGCTCCCTACCAAACGGCGAAACTTACTTCGGTCGCCCGACTGGTCGCTGCTGCAACGGGCGTCTCATCGTCGACTTCATTGGTAATATATATATTTCACTTAACGCTAGCTCTTCCAGCGGGTTTTCTTAATTATACCTTGCTGCATATATATATTGAACTCAGTGTGTAATGTTTTTGTTTTCGGATTTGGGTTTGAATCAGCTGAGAAATTGGGGCTTCCTCTGCTGACGCCGTTTCTGGGAGAGCTGAAGAGCATCAATTTCCGGTTCGGGGCAAACTTGGCGGAGGGAGGCGCGTCGGCCTTTGAAGATCAGCAGCAACGTTCCTGGCATCGTGACCACGTAGTAGCGGCCGTCTCGGCCACCGATGGCGTTGCGGCCGAAGCCGGTGGCGCAGTTGGCCAGGCGCTTGCGGTGGGATTGCCAGTTGGGGTCGCATCGCCAGCAGTCGTCGATATGATTGCCCGTGGAACAAGACAAGTATCCCAACTTCCTTCTCGCCGTGCTGTTCCTAATGCTCCTGTAAACAAGGATTCATGGTACGTAACAGATTAACAGCTAATCTAAAGAGAGTGGGGAAATATAACGATTAATGGCTTCTATAATGTGGGAGATGGAGCAATTATGGTTGGGAAGGATTCTTTTTTTCATTTTTTATAATTATAATTTTTTGTGATAATGATGTGTAATTTATAAAAATTTAATTTTTAATTATTTTTTATTTGCCACGTCACACATTTAACGGTCAACTGTCAGAGTTGACCGCCACGTCAGTCAAAGTTAACAGAGGTTAACGGAGAGTGACCGAACTTGAACTGTTCAACTAATTCGAGTGACTATAAATGGAATAAATTAATTTGAGTGGCAAACGTGAAATTTTATAGCAATTCGAGTGACCAAACTTGCAATTAAGCCTTCTTTTTGCCCTCCAACGGATATCAAGAGCAAAAAGAAAGAATGAAACTTTGATCACCAAATCGATAAATTCTGCAAAAGAAATATTTATTTCGAGCTAGCTATTGGTTTTGGCCCAACATTCAATTGTGCTATTGTCATAGCCATTGCTACCTCAACATTAAAACAGGTTAGGTGTTTGTGGGGGCTATCGCACTTAACATCCAGCAGATGGAGTTTGTTAAAACTGATGGACCAGGCCACAGCAAAGTGCTGTACAGTAGTAGCTAGTAGCTACAAAAACAGTAATAATTGCAATGTTTTTCCTAAAGTGACAAGAATGGTTAATTAGTCTGAGGATGTTATTAGGATGAGCCATGAAAGGAGATCTATTCCATCCAAGCATGTGGGAATTTTGATATCAATAAGGTGAAGCAATGAAACTATCACATTTTTGGAAATTATTTCATTACAATTTAGTTCTCGATAGATAGTGTAAGAATAAGTGTTCGTGATCGGTATTGAAATGAACACTGACTCTTTATAACCTATAGATAATTTTGATATTTGTTTCAATCAAGATTTGTGTGAGGTTGGTGTCTTGCTCTTCTCCAGCAATCCATGGTTCGATGTATGCATCAAATGCTTTGCGCAGAGGTTGCTTCTCACTCTGTTGATTGTGGGTTGATGCACGAGTACTATTGGGCGTTTTGGGCTTGCCTTGCCTCTAGTAGCACCCCCAGCTCACGAGACCAAGATTGTGTCGAGAGCCAGAAGCCCCGAGATTTACCTGACTGCAGAATCACCACGGTGGTACCAGGATGGATCAACTGGAATACGAGACAATTTGACTGTCAATTCGACTCACCTGCCCCACCATATACAATTGTAATTGCCTTGAAATGACTCAATTTTGAAATTCCACAAGCCAAATGGTTCCATCTAAAATTTATGCGGCCAAACCAGACAACTTGGCCCAACTATCTCAAAACGATACAATTAGATCAAATTAATTCGTCAGAATTCCTTATCCAAACGCCTCATCTGATTTTCTATGGTTATTTTGATATTTGATTTTTCCAATGATAGACAAGAGATAATTGGAAAGGGCACTTGTGTGCTGGCTGCCTAATAAAGTTTTGTTTTGGCAATTCAGGAGGAATTTCTTTTTATCCCAAATTGAAATCTTGAACGAGAAAGGGTGGTCTGCATGAAACATAAAGCAAAAAAGCCAAAGGCTAAATGCTTCTCATGATATTATGGTATATTATTTGTATTTTTTTAAGATCTTTTATTGGTTCCATGCATAAAAAAGACTAAAAGTGTGTTTTGAAAGAAAAATTTTGTTTCAGTAATTGACTGTTCAAAGATTTCAGTGGTGAATGGTGATTTTGGATTTCAACTAAATCATACGGGATAGTTTTGGAAGTAAGGAACAAAATAAAAAGAAATTTTAAAATAATAAGGGGATGGGAGATATTTCGAGCAAGGATTACGAAACCGTACCGGACATCAAACCGGAATCGTTTTTGGCATGGTAAATCGTGGTACAACCATGGTTCAACCGTTTTCTACCGGTAAATACCGTTTTTGGAATAAAAAAATTATTTTTTTGTTAAAAAACCGTACCGACAAAATTAGGGTACCATACCGGGAAAATACCGGAATAAAACCGGATTATACCGCCTATTGTAAAAGAGTAAATAAGCTTTTACCTAATAAACCTAATAAACCTCATAATCATCCAAATACATTTTTAGAAACTAGTACAAAACCACAATTGAGTTTGTGTGTCTCTGCTTTCATTAGAAAAATGACTTCTTTTATCCGAAAAGTCTACCCTAATTGACTTCAATTGAGTTTTTATATGAAGTATAGAGAAGCCAATGGACCACAAATTTAAACTCAAGCCCACATATCCAGGATTAACTCGTTTTTCTAGCAAGCCCATAAAAAAACACTGTGTTAAAGTGATATTTAAATTTTAAACCCACTTTCACTTCAATTTACAACCTACAACTAATTGTAAAACGCAGACGTTTTCATTAAACACATAAACAAGGTTCCCTTTATATATGTTTCGATCAAAGCAGCACCTTATGCAAGCTTGGACCAAGAACAGATTATGAACACAGAATAAAATATGAAGAACTGAAAAACCTATTACTTGTCTGTGTGTTGTAAAGCCAAGGATATACAGGCCTCGAATTACAGGCCTCGTCGATACTCTAGTTGCTTGGTGTTTCCGAGCAATACATGTACAAAAAAAAAAAAAACTTCAGAGTGTAAGTAATTACTTGTCTGATCAAGGGAGAGGGAGACGAGCGGCAGAGCGGCGCGGGGAGAGGGAGACGCGAGGCAGACGAGAGGCAGGTGTTGGACAGTTGGACCGGCGCGGGGAGAGGGAGACGAGTGGCAAAGCGGCGCGGGGAGGGGAGAGCGGCAGAGCGGCGCCGGGATAGGGAGAGGAGAGGCGGAGCGACTCGGGGAGAGGAGAGGCAGAGAGAAGAAGACTGAGGCTTGCTGGCCGAAGGTAGGTTTTCGGTCTCTGCTTGCCTTCACTTTTTTTTTTTTAAAGCTCCCTCAAAACATCGCGTTTTACTTAAATGAACCAAACCGCCGGTTTTATTAAAACCGGCCGAAATTTCGGTTCACTGCGGTCCAACCGCAAATACCGCCCGGCAGGAATTAGAAGGGTACAAATACCCTATTGGGCCGTTTTACATCCGGTTTCCGGTTTTTCCGGTCCGACCGGCCGGTCCGGTACGGTTTCCTGGTCCTTGATTTCGAGTTGTCTCAGTTGAGACATTTAATTTATCTTATAAGTCGAATGTCTTGTTTTCATTTTTCTTCACATACGAGACATTTGAATAAAATGTCTCATTTTGAAACTTTTATCTTAATTGACGTGAAATTCCTCCTAACCTTACCACACCTAACTCACAATTATTTATTAATTATGGAGACAAGAAGTACTTAGATTGTAATGGACATCTAACATCTTGTAGTTACATAGTTGGTATCTTCTTGGTTGGACTATTGGCCATTGCTTCATAATCAAGGAAGCTTTAAATTAATTTGTGGGAGTTAATGGGATTAATTCAATGGATGGCCAAGGGTGAAAGCAATCAAAACCCTAGTCAAGAGCCGTCATCAAGACAATTTGGAAGCCTTAATCCTGTTAAACTTGATGTTAGTGTCCCTTAAACTTCATTAGTTAATGGATTAATGGGTAAATGGAAATTACAAAAAAAAAAATCATAAACATGTACTAATGGCTGACATGGAAGCCAGTTAAGCCACGTGCATAATATCATTATGATGCTCATAGGATGCTTGAGCTCCTTATTTGTTTCCTTCATAATTTCCTAATCCAAGTTAGATAGAAATACAACCATAAATAACGTTAATCAATCGGTCAACTAGCTATTGGAGAAAGCCAAAATAATCTTTTGCGATCTATAACGATAATTTCGGTTGACTGATAAAAAATATGGGTCATAGTAGTTCTCTTCCATAATTATTGAGTGCTCCACAGTCCAACATAATCAACTCATCATTATAATCGTCGGCTCAATCATGATACTATATGAATCTATGTATATTGTCTTATCAACATATCTCTCATAGTTTATATTCTCCGTGAAGAACAACATATTAGTATTTAACCGCAATTAGTAGTTGATGAATGCAGAAGGTTTTGATTCTAATTAGGGATGTAGGGGGTTTAGATTTCATGTTTGTTCTAACCGACCCGATAAGTTCTTATCAGCGGCGGATCTAGGGGGGCCGTTCCCGGGCCACGGCCCAGCCCTCCCTCGATCCGGAGCTAGTATAGCACGTGTAAATTTTCGATTTTTGGTGCTCGTTTCAGTGTTCGTCGTGTTACGGCCCAGCCTTCTCTACTTTTTTCCAATGTGGCCCAGTGCTCTACCCAATCCTGGAACCGCCGCTGGTTCTTATCAAATTTTGGTTAACAGAGAAGCTCTTAACTTATTCGGTTTTAATTTTGGGCAAACATCCTAGTTCGGTTTTGAATTTTTTTATTAACCCAACCGGCACCCCCTAGTGACACCCACTTATTACTAAATTATGCTCTCATGTTAGAAAATTCTTTTGGGCGAAAATATCAATACTTTGCATAGAAGAACTAAACTAAAAGTCTAAAACTAATGATTTGTAATGCAAATAAGGAGCCCAAGAAAGAAAGGGAGAGGAGAGGAGAGGAAGTGGTTGGTTTGATTTGTACCTCTCGTGTCCCTTTGCGTATTGTCACCATGCAAAGCGAAATGATGGTTTTATTCACCTTTTGAAGTATACTTTTATGGGGAAATTGGTGAGGTTTTGATGAGAGCACTTCGTTTGATTTGGAAGATAATCATAATTAACATGATAGTAGTAGCTAGTGGTCTAGTCCATAGGATGGATGATGGTTGATAATGATATAATCTCTTAAAAAGAAAGTATGTGTAACTAGTTTATTAATGTTGAACTCTTCCATTCCGACTTTCGATATGTGTTCTCGAATGATAATGGTACATAAGTAATGAGATAAAAATGTTTTTTTTAAAAACGATTTGGGGTTTTTAGGGATTGGTTCTCTTGACTGACTTATGAATTGTTATTCGATTAATTAGAATGGCTGAATGAAATCATGCTTGCTCCATCACCCATCATATTAGAGATTTCCAGCATTTTCCACTATATGTTTGAGTGTTCGACATGATCATCGGAAGGCTAGTGAAATCATTAGTGATTTGTTGAATTCCAACTCATATTATTTTTTATGAAGTTAGAATCTTCCTATGCGTTTATGTTACATTTGTTACTGCGTGACTCTTTATAATCGGGAACATCATGCTCCATTTTGATTCTTTCTATCCTACAAAAGGGAATTAACATGTATCCAAATTACCATTTTTTTACTAATCAAACACACAAATTTCAAGTTGGCTTTGATAGCAATATGATGGGATGTGAAACAATCTATCCACTACAATTAGGAATGTTATGTACACCACTTGTAGAATAGGAAGAGCTTTTCCAATGGCTTCTGTTCATAATCCATGTTTTACATTGACATGCTTTAGAAATGATTGACCACCAAATCTCTCTCTTTTTCTTACCCTTGTCTCAAGTTGGATGGAGTAGTGTCATCTGGACGTGCATGCAAAGCTGTATACGCCTTTTGGCGTTGCTCATGTGTTGTTTTTCTTTTAAAACAATGCAAAATGGAAAGACAATTTTATATTGAAACTTAATTAAACACAATTCTTAGTCTAAACAACGTCAATTCGATTAAATTTTTCACAATCCTCGGTTGTAACTACCTATATATGTAGTGAAAAATGATGCCAAAATAAATTGAAAGGGGGAGAAAACAATGATATGGAAATTGAAAGAGCTAGGCTAAGTATAGTTCCAAGACCTTTGAAACAAAACCACATCAGACCGCACTGAACTGAATTGCATTAGTTCGTTACAGGTTTTTCATCTTTCCTGAATCTTTGAGAAATTGAAAGGTTTGTTGTTGAAAATGCAGGTGGCCTGTTAGCAGAATCTTCACTGGCAGGGCCCTGTGGTATGTGCAACATTTGTTTTCTGGTTGTTGGGTTTTTGATGGAGACAGTGTGCAACTGACTTGTAGCCCAAGTTTGCTATCTGGAAAAAAAGATTGAGAAAACCGAAGATATTACACAAATTATCAAGGAGATAGAGACACCAACTCTACAACTGCATTATGAACAACATAGAAAGCAAGGGTCAGATTTCCAGCGATCAGTTACCTCCCTGTGAAGTGCTCCGGCGAAAGCAAGCTCTTTGGATTGCCAACAGAAACTGCAGTCGCAAACTCCCAACCAAGGCAGATGTAGCATATCCAGTTCGAAGTTTCGACACTCCAAGTACATGCTCCCATTATTTAGATGTTCCAAGTACTTGAGCATGTACATGTAACATGTGCCAGGCTTGATAACTACATTTAGTGAAAACACCAGATGAGCTGATTTTACACAAACAAAGGCAATGCAAATGTGAGGAACATACCTTATGTACAAACAATCTCCAATGAACTGTCCTTACACCATCTCACAACTGCAACACTGAGTGCGAAGACCAACAGTTTTCTGCCTGCACAAATGGATATTTCACCTTGTAATAGGGAGTAGGAAACACAATAAGCATACACAGGGTTAACTGCGGACTACAGACAGTTAAAAGTTCAAATATCCTCCCAAACTCTCCGAAAGGGATTAGTAGCATAAGCTTTATAAGTCGGAACATCTAAACAACTTCCTCTCCTCTAAACCCGTTTGACATTAAGCACACATTTCTTTAGCTTTCCTCGGCAACTCTTTATCACAAGTGAGCTTGAGGGAGAGAAAATTGAGGGATCTTAATAAACTCTGACAATGCTAACTTCTAGTTATGGCAGTGGATGTACTAACAAACCAGCAGTAACCATATGAACAACTTATATTAGCAAATTCGCAGTAACAATAACTTGCAAACTAGTGTGAAAAGATTCACAGTTCAGATAAAACAAAGCATCAATAATTGAAAACGTGAACCATGTGAAGGATCCCACTGACCTACATAGGTGGCAAATCTTCCCATCGATCAAATCATAAAGTCGTCTCCCGTCTTCAATGGATTGACACCACTTTGCACACTCAGCTTCATGCCATGTGCGTAGAAAAACTATAACGAAGATCTTCGTTATCCATACAAACCTATTACCCCCCCCCCCCCCCCCCTTTCCATCTCTTTCTACTAAGGAAACATGGTTGCATGAAGTTCAAACCCAACTATGTTTTCATCCCCGGTCAACCTCAATCATGCTACATCCAGCTTCTTTAACCCTCTTTTCTTGCTTTCCTATTGACTTATTATACCTAAACTTGGTATCTATCCGCTCATCTGTTGTTACCTGCAAGCTCCTAAGATCTCCCAACCTTCCAGCTATGGCATAAGTACCTGATAGAAGCATTGAATCAGTCGGATGTTGATCATCCATTTCAACCAATACTCTGTTCACACGTTCCCCTAACTCAGTATCTCCATACACTCTGCAGGCAGCAAGTAATGCACGCCAAGCAGTGGCATCTCTCTTGATTGGTGGCAGCCTTTCGATCAAGCCTTGTGCTTCCTTCAACAATCCCAAACGACCCAAGAGATCAATAATGCAACCGTAGTGCTCAACTTTGGGTAAAAGACCATATCGTTCAACCATCCTCCGAAAGCATTCCATTGCTTCTTTCACCATCCCGCCATGACTACAAGCGCTTAGTACAGCCAAGAAAGTGACCTCATTTGGCCTGTATCCTTCATCCTCCATTCTGTACATGAGAGCAACAGCATTGCTCGACTGCCCATGAACTCCATAACCTAAGATCATGGCAGTCCAGGACTTGACATCTTTGCTCTGCATTCGCTGGAAGATGTCGACGGCTTTGTCTAGAAACCCAGACTTGGCGAACATATCGATCAAAGCTGTACCGAGAACTGCATCCAGCTTCATTGCCTCTAGTTCGACAAAGCTACTTAAGTACCGGCCAAGTTTGATAGATCCGGTGGAAGCACAGGCTGAGAGTAGACTTGCCAAAGTGGAGGAATTTGGATTGACTCGTTCACTTTTCATCAGCTTTAGCAGAGCTATCCCTTCATCTAGCAGCCCAGCTTTTGCATATTTATCTATCATGCAGTTCCACAGGACAACGTCTCTAGACATGGTCTCATCAAAAAGCCTACGTCCTGATTCTATACTACCTGTTTTTGCATACATGTCAATAAGAGCAGTCACAACGTTCTTATTAGAATGGAAGCCGACCTTTATCCAAAGGCCATGAATGGACTCGCCTCCACGTGAATCCTCTAATTCGCTGAGAGCCGACAGAACGGACAACAATGAGGTCTCGCTGACTCCCTGGCCACACCTGACCCCCTCCCTGAACAATTTCAACGCCATATCTGGTTGAGAAGCTTGCATATAAGCAGCCATCATTGTGTTACACGTTACAAGATCATTCTCCTCTGGCATTTCATCAAACAACTTGTGGGCGTGTCCGATTTCCCCACAAACACCATAGTAGTGCAAAAGTGCATTCTTAACTTCCACAAACAATAAATGCCCAGATCTCAACACAAGTCCATGTATCGCCTGCCCGTTTTCCTCAGCCAATTCGCGCGCGCATGCTTTAAGGGTCGTGATGAAGGAGAACTGATCGAGCAAGAAGCTTCGAGCCCTCAAGTTATTGAAAACACCAAAGGCCTTCCAGGGTGTTCCGCTAATGGAATAGGCTCTAAGCATAGTGTTGAACATGAACAGATTTGGGTCTCGGAAATTCTCGAATATGGAGGCCGCATATTGCGTGTCTTGTATTGACGAAGCGAGAAGCTTGCTGACGGAGAAAGGGTCGTGTTGCAGACCATTCGTGACCATAAAGCCATGAACTTGGGCGATTTGGGAAGTCCGATTGCAGGATTGCAGGAGGGAAGCGAGATCGCAGGAGATGGAGACGATCGAATTACGCTTTGGGTTATGGTGCTTCAACCGGCCCTCGACCTTTGAAGTCAAGCGCAAAGCATGGCGCATCTTCAGGAGAAATAAGGAAAGGTAGGGCCTTTGGCAGAAAGGCGGAATTTTTAGGATGAGCAATAGGAGTTTGGTTTTCTTTTGGTAAACCGGTCTACCGTTTGGCCCGGCATGGAGGTTGAACCAGTAACTCCGGTTCCGGTTTCTTTCGGCTCAACATCTTTGCACCAATCCCATAAGAGCAAACCTAGAATGTTGATAAAACATTAAAACTAGAACTAACAATGTCTTCAAACTACATTACATCTTCTACCACAATGCCAAAACAGATTCCTAATAACCCATATCATACAGGCTAGTGCTTTGATAGTTCAGGAAGTAACACTTCTACAATCCGCTTCACAAAATAAAGACACAAGACCATCCCCTACCCAAAAAAATCTTCATCTTGTTCTGTGTCTTCTTCTCCATGAACTAGATCATTTAAGCACCTAATCTGCGCCTTTGACGCAGCCTTGCACCGATGCTATCGGGACTTGGTGCAGCAGCTTGGTTAATAGTGATGCCACCAGAAGGTCCTAATCCGCTCCTTCGACGAAGCCTTCCACCAATGCTGTTGGGGCTCGGTGCAGCAGCTTGGTCCATCATGGTGCCACCAGAAGCTTTACCCTCCATCACCATTGTTATTTCAACCTCATAGTGATCATCACTTACATCGAGTCTCCTGCTTGGCCTCCTCTGCCCCGCCTCCAAGTCTGTAACCATTTCATCTTTCTCTTCATATTTGAGTTTGTTTTCAATCCTCCCTTCACTTTTAGGAGGAGTTGCTGATATAAATTTTGAATAGTCACAATCTACTTCACCCTCCATCCACACCAATCTCTTTATCTCGCTATTCAATACTGGAGTTTCGCTGCCTGGTTTGAGTTCTTCAGAATGAGGTTGCTTAGCTGGTGTATCTTGTTGATGCTCGATTTCACAAGGTTCCTCTGGTGCTGCTTCTTCGGTATCTGAAAATGCAATTGACCTTTTAGCAGACTCTTCACTTAGAGGAGCTGAGCTTGTATTGGCAACAACATTGGTTTCTGGACGTTGAGCCTGCATGAGGTAGTGTGCAACTGACTTGTACCCCAAGCTTGATATCTGGAAGCACCAAAAACAAAGGAAAACAAAGATATAATAAAAGGCACAAACTTCACCCCTGTACTCCAATAGCATAAAAATGCCAGATTTCAACATTCACTTACCTTTCTGTACATAATTCCAGTGGGAGCAAACCCTTTTGCTTGTCGACAAAAGCTGCAGTTGCAAATCCCGCGGCAGACTGGGCATATCCAGTTCGGATCTTCCAAGGCTTCAAGTACATGCTCACCATATCTAGTGGAATAACAGAGGGAAAAATTAAGTGCTGAATTAAAATAGGATTTCCCCAGTTCTCAGCTATCAATGTTTAGCTTAATGCTAGCAAGTTTCAGAACAAGTTGATCCAAGGATATTAAACCCACAACCAGCAAGTGTTTCACTTAGGTTCGTTAGTTAAACGTCTGCCGAAACAACCAACACTGCAAGCGCTAATGTACTGGAAACAAAAGTAAGTAATGTGAAAAAACAATACCTCATGTACAAGCAATCTCCACAAAACTGCCCTTGCACCCTTTGGCAACTGCTACAGTGAGTGCGATGGCCAAGAGTTTTCTGCCTGCATAAATGACAATTTCATCTTGTGATAGCATGTAGGAAATGCTATAACCATCTAAAGAGAGTAACACAGACGCAGACATTTAAACTGTCAAAGACTGGAATCACCTTCCAGCCTCCGCAAAGTGAGTTAATAGCATTAGGTTTCTAAGTGGCAACAACTCAAAATAAAGTAACTTGGTCTCCTCTAAACAATTGCAACATGAAGTACACGTTTTTTGTAGATTTTCTTCAATCCCCGTAACTACAATCGAGCTTGCAGAAGAGAAAATCGAGGGAAGAAACTGGTATTAAGGTACCACTGCGTACCACATCAACAATCTAGATACCGATAACTTCCCTGAAGCGAAGGCAGTTACAATCAACTTGCAAAATAGTAGAACCGTTCACAGCACAGATTTCACACACAATGAAGCATCGCTCGTTACAGAACAGAGAAGCGATGGGGAAACACTAACCTGCACTGGTGGCAAGTCTTGCCATTGATGGGATCATATATTCTTCTCCCATCCTTCCCATATCCATCCACGAAAAGTGTCCAGGTCCTCTCGGTGCCTCCCAGCCTCTTAACCTGCTCTTCAGTGTAAACCTCCGGCTTGCTACCCCCAGCACTGCGATTCGCACCTTCGTCATCATCCAGCACATCCCTTTTTGACTTCCTCCCTTCTGAATAGCTAGGGGGCTGTACATTTTGCAGCCTAATTCAACACCAAGTAAATTTCATCAAAAATTCAACCCACCAGGCTACCAGCATTTCCTTTAACCAAAATCTCCAAGTCACACAAAACCCTAACCCCCTCCCATTTCCAGATTCTCATGCCAATCCGTGTCCATGCAAGAGAAACAACAATAAAAGAAGCAGCAAGCAAGCAAGATTTTCACATTGCAAAATTAAACCATATACTCCACTCGAATTGATCTCCTTTAGCAGATTTTTTTCACCCAACACAAAGAATCAGCAGCACGGAATGAAAACCCACAAGGGGAAAAAAAGAAGAAAAGGGGTGAAATTTAATTGACCTAGACGAGCGGCGGCGTGGGGAAGAAAGCTCGGGCCTCTCGGAGAACTTAGTGTAGCTTTTGCGCTGCTGCTTGGGTTTGGTCCGGGAAAGAGGATTGAGGTTCAGAGAGAGCTCCTTGAGGCCGAGCTTCTGCATCCTCTCCAAGTTGGCTCTGATTCTCTCTTCTCTCGTCTGTTCGTAGACAGAAATCTTGGGCGTCTGAACGCCAATGTTCCCGTCGATTGGTGGTGGGTCCCGTCCCGGTGATCGGCTGTCCAGAGTCGCCATTTTCGTTTCTTTACTTTGTTCTGAGTTCAACTCTCTCACAATCGGCTTCTTTGACGGCCGTCCTGTTCAGAGCGAGCAGCGGTGAGTGGGCGAGTGAGAGTGAGAGTGAGAGTGAGAGGGAAGATGTGGAGTCTCAACGGTCGACTTTTCGTGGTTTTTTTATGGCAGAAGTGACTATTGAGGTGATAGTGGTGAGAGAGGGAGAAGAAAAAAGGAAAGTTGAAAAGTCTAAGGGGATTAATCGGGGATTAAAATGGGATTTATAGCCTTTTTAACAATTTAATTTGGGGTAATATTTTTTTGGCCTAATATCAAAAAGTGGTAATTTAATAATTTATGATAGATTTAACGGTCAACTAAATGGTGGAGTGGTCAATTCTTTTCTGATTTTGTGTCAATATAGTATCACCTAATTGATAATATTGAAAATTTTCTTATATATGTTTTAGGATTTTTTACCACTCACTTAAATTAAAATTTTATTTTAATAAAAATTTTCCCCGATAAATGGGTGCGCATTATTCATCAAATACAATCAGCAACAAGAATCCCAAAGATGACACTCAAAATCCTTTATACAAGACAAGTCCTAATCCTTACTTCAGTGTAAGCATATTCGAGAAGTGTTGTGATTTAGAATCTTCGCTAAGTGAGCGAGAAATTTTAATAATCGTTATCCAAAAGATTTATTGAGGTTATATACAAAATTGTAATACTCTCCATATCTATGTCTCATGTTTTCAACGTCACACATAAAATTAGTGTATTTTGAGTTCTAATCTCATCCATAATTCATCATGAATCTGTACGATTTTTCATTCACATCACAGCAATCGTTGAACTCAAAGAAACTTAAAGTGTGAACTCGAGCTCCAACTATTAAAAATGATTAAGAACGAATTAAATAAATAATGAATTAAACTTGTGATTTCTTGAAGAACTAAACAATTCGACTGCTACATCTGCCCATTAGTGATGCTACGAGATAGTGCCATGCTCATGAATTCTTGACTATTACTTTTTGTGTAGAGACTCTGAATTGGCCATCAAGGATGCTACATCGAGGAAACCTTCTCATTTCAGAGCGGGTGTCATACCAAAGGAAGTTCATTCTCTTCCATCCTCCTTTGTCTCAATCTCCGAGTCTTCTTGCTCCGTCGAATTTTAACATAGATGTTCACCTCATAGCAAAACAAACTCTTTTATCGAAAATTCGATTGAATACGGACTACCATTCTTATTGTCCAGCCGAACTTTTATCTCATAAAAAGCACACACTCCTCTTCCAATTTTACACGTCCAAAACAAACAACCACCTACTTCCTCCTCCTCCCAAACAAAATCCTTCCCCAAATGGATTTCCCACCATAATTAATGAGACCACTCAAGATCCCAATTCCCATGCATAATCCAACTTGAGTGTACCACAAGACAAAAACATCATCAACCACAACAACAAGTCTTCAACAATAAACTTAATCGTTTCATCCTCCCACAAAAAGTCTCATCACAGGTTGAGAAAAATGTACACTAACGAGTTTGATGATCTACCCACATGCCCCATATTACAGAAAATCCAACTCCAAACTCTCAACCTCCCCTGTTTTTCTCCTTCTTTTTTCCACACTACCAGGAGGAAGAAAAAACCCAAAACCCACCTCCATAAAACAGCTCCTCTGGTCACGCCAACTTGCAACTTCACCAGCAGAAACTTCACAAGTTAGCTCTCCTCCTGTCACGAGAGCGTGGCAAAAACCCATTGAATTTTAAGCTTTCTTCCCCTGCATTAAATACTCTGCCCCATCTTCGTTTCCACAATTATAGATTAGCTGCTGCGGCTGACAGAGAAAGAGAAAAAAAGGAAACAACCCAAAATCATGGGTCTGTTGGCTTTACTTGTCGCGGTGGTCATCATCAATTTGGGCAGTCCAGCTCTCGGCGACGATGCTGTAAATGGCGGCGCTTCCTTCGTCTTCGGGGATTCGTTGGTTGATGCTGGCAACAACAATTTCTTCTCCACTCTGTCCAAGGCCAACATTCGGCCCAACGGGATCGATTTCACGGCGTCGGGCGGGAGTCCCACCGGGAGATACACCAACGGGAAAACCATCAGTGACATCGTCGGTAAGCTAATCAAACTGCATTAGTACGATATTGTCCGCGTACTGATTAGGTTCTCTTATGATTCCGTTGAATTGTATCATAAGTTCTGGTACCACTTGTTGAAACCCAGTAACGGAGTCAGAAATCTGAACAACGGGCTGACTTAATTGCCGTAATTGGAGTAGGAGGGGCTAAAGCCTTACAGACTATTAAAATTCCTAACTTCAACCAAGCTTTGCCACAACTGAAATCTGAGTGCTCCACTAGTAGAATATTGTCCATTTGAGGTCAAGTACAAAACCAATTTACTTTTGGATATCTTTTCCAATCTCGTACTAATGAGCTCGGAGAATACTTACGATACAAATCACAAGTGTCGTTTCTCTTAAACTTTCGGACGTGGTACTTGGATTGTCCGATGATAATATATGTTATCTCTGGCCTGATCAATTTCTGCAGGTGAAGAACTCGGGCAGTTGAACTACGCGCTGCCGTTCCTATCACCCAACACCACCGGAAAGGCGCTCCTTTCCGGGGTCAACTACGCCTCCGGCGGCGGAGGGATCATGAACGCCACCGGGAGAATCTTCGTCAACAGGCTGGGCATGGACGTGCAAATCGACTACTTCAACATCACGAGGAAGCAGCTCGACCAGCTTCTGGGAGCATCCAGGGCCAGAGAATTCCTCACCAAGAGCTCCATCTTCTCCATCACCGTCGGCGCCAACGATTTTCTCAACAACTACCTCCTCCCCGTCCTCTCCGTCGGCGCCAGGGTTTCTCAGAGCCCCGATGCCTTCATCGACGACATGATCTCACATCTGCGAGCTCAACTCACGGTAAAAGATCGATTTGCCAGTGAAGAGTTGGATAATTACAAAATGGTAACTTTAGTTTTCTGGATTTGAAGTTTTGATTCCCCTGTTTTTTTTTTTGGGCCGTCGGTGGCAGAGGCTTTACCAAATGGATGCTCGGAAGTTTGTGATCGGCAACGTGGGGCCGATCGGATGTATTCCGTACCAGAAGACGATAAACCGGTTGAAGGAGAACGAATGCGTGGATTTGCCCAACAAGCTTGCGCTTCAGTACAATGGCAGGCTGAAGGATTTGCTGGCGGAGATGAATGACAATATGCCCGACGCCGTGTTTGTTCACGCTAATGTCTATGATTTGGTCATGGAGCTCATCAGCAATTATGCCAAATACGGTACGCATATACGGCAAGTTATACTTTGTTTTTTTGTATGTAAAATTGTTCGACGGGTCACCTGAGTTTCACGTTGGATCCGTTTTGGTCATCGAAACAAATTTCTTTTTGTCGTTTTTGTGAAAATTAGTGATTGCTGTAGTGATCGTGATGCTCTAACCATATGAAATGGTTTATAAATGGAACACAAAAATTTCTATTGTGGGAAGGCTGAAGATCATTGTTGAAATGAACAAGCACTAATTCGAAACTCTGTAAGAATTTTTTTGAAGTTTCATGGATCTCGTATAAAGCAGGTGCTCATACCTCATAAGGTCTGAGTTCATGGTAGTTTTTCCTTCTAATGCTATCATGAACTCAAACCTTTTGAAGTGCTGGGAGAGCTGCTTGGTGCGGAAGTCATGATGAACTCGAACGTCATCATGACGAGAAAAGAAACCCCGTTACCCCCTATCTCCGATGAGACTTCAAACTTCAAAGATATATGCAATCTATCACACAACACCAACTTTGACTTTCTTAATGGTCTCGCTTAATGATTCGCGCATTTGATCGATGTGAAAGACTAATGATTTATTTTGATTTTTTCGCAATTTCTTAAGGATTTACGACTTCGAGCAGGGCTTGTTGTGGAAACGGAGGACAATTCGCAGGAATAGTACCGTGTGGACCAACATCGAGTATGTGCGGGGATCGTTCGAAGCATGTGTTCTGGGATCCATACCATCCCAGCGAGGCTGCCAACGTGATCATCGCAAAACAGCTGTTGGATGGAGACACCAAGTACATCTCCCCCATGAACCTTAGGCAGCTGAGAAACCATTGACGAATTTGCATGAAGGAAGAAGAAATTGTTTTGGGTTTTTAATTTGTGTGTGTGAAAGTGAAATTCGTGGTGCATGCATGATGCATGCATGGGTGTTTTAGTTTCACAAATGGAATTTGTATTTTTTTACTTTTATGTTTTATGTTTCTTTTTCGCCTGTTTGAGCAGCAACAGAGTTATTGTTCACGTGTCCAAGAGGAGGGTTTTGCTCTGTTCGTCATGTTTTAAGGGATATGATAAAATACAAAATTCAGAACTACAAAATTCGTGTCTTATTGTCCATTAGATACGAATTATATCTGAGATGGGTTAGACATGAATTTTATAGCTATGAGTTGTATATCAAAACCCATGCCATATTTTAATGGAAGTTAATGAAAAGAACGTTCCTATCTACTCTCTTTAATAAGGATTGATACTTTGGTTAGTAATTGTTTAATTATTATTATTATTTTTGTTTAGGATTCCTAATCATTAGTGTTGTTCGGTTTTAATTTTTGTTTTAAATTCTTTATCAAACCTGCACCCGACTCAATAATTCAATCTCAAAGTGGGTTTTCCCTGCACCCAACCTGAAATATCTATCAATTAACTTCAAGTCTTACTCGACTTAACTAGATCGAAAAGAGTTGGGTATCCATGAATCCGTTATGCAAAAAGTTGCTTGAGAGATTCGAACGTGGGACCTTTAGGTTCAAGAGCAATATGTGGTAAAAGACAAGTTGTTTGTTGGTCCAGACCCTTATTCGCAAGAACGGATCCCGTTGACCGAAATTCATGACTTATAAGTGACACACAGGTTAAAAGAAAGTTGTCTGCTGAAAGAATTTTTTGATAATATACGTGAAACCCATAGATGCTGATCATATACCCACCTACTGAATTGGGTTGGATTTTCTCTTATGTAGACGGTGGATATTTGACGCGAATTTTTTTACAGGTACACCTACTGAATTGGATTTAGAGTTCGAAAAACATTATTCAACTCAACTGATTGCCGTCCCTAGTTGCACGTTAATCACCTAAAAGATAGGGGTGGCAACGGGACGGGACGGGATACCCGTCCCGTTTGAAACGGGTACCCAATCCCGTACGGATAACGGGTACCCATTACCCGTACGGGACGGATAACGGATACCCATAATACCCATAAATACCCGTCCAAAATTCCATCGAATCCCTTCTTTGCCTATCTCCCATTATCATCCTAGAAACAACGAAACCATTTCTTGTGCACACCAACCATAATAACAGCAACGACAAAAAAAAAAAGAAGCTAAGAACAAATACGAAACAAGAATCAATATGATGAAGGTGAAGTGATGCTGCCACCAAGTGAAGCCGCCACCAAAAATTAAATAAACAAGAATTAATTCGTTCCTTTTTCTGCTGATTCTTTTTAGTTAGTGTGTTCCAGTTTGGTTCAATTTTGTTGAGCCAATTGGCTGCTTCTTTCTTTTTCTGTGACTAACTCTGTTTCTTTTTTTGTAATATATATTTTTCACCATTATCAAAATAAAATAATCTTGTACTAATTTTGGACTAACGGGTATAACGGGTACCCGTAATACCCAAACGGGTATTGACGGGTAACCCGCGGGTACCCAAAGTAGTGATTCTTGATCCCAAGTCCCATCCGTAAAAAAAAATTATGGATATTTGAGTACCCGTAACCCTCAAAAAACGAGACGGGTACGGGTATACCCAAATACCCGTTTCCTGTTGCCCACCCCTACTAAAAGACCCCCCTCAGCCTCATTCTCATAGTAAAGGTTCATTAGCATAGTGTAGAGCATGAACATGGAAAGTTGGATGGATGGATGGATGGATGGATGGGGAGTGGGAGATGAAAGTGACGCATGAGAGATTCCCCAATAGGCAGGCAGGCAGGCAAGAGCAATAGAGGCAGCTGCAGGCAGAGTAGTGTTTTGTTTGTATTTTTGTAGCTTGTTTGGAAGCTGCGCGTGCCCTCTGCCGCGAATCCTCCCTCCGTCGCTTCCTAGCAAGCTTCTTTCTCTTATCACCTCTGCCAGCCTGCAGATGATCGATGACGATCCCAGTCCATTGCCAAACAGATAGTACAATTCCTACTTACCAGTCTATCGTTTATCGCCAAACCCCAAAATAAGAAAAAGAAGGAACAGAGGAAGGGCTCAGCCGCTCAGCTTCGCTTCCTTTCCTTTCCTTACTTACCCTCTTCTGCAGCGCCACTGTCGTCTGAATTACTGCTGCAACTGCTGGGCAGAGCAGAGGGTTCCCTCTGTGTGTTTTGGATATGAGATTTGAAGGGCCCAATTCCATTTCTTTTTTGTCGTCCCAATTGGACTTTTTTTACCCAATCTTCATATTCCCCTTCCTCTCCACTTCTTCTCCTCCATTCCATGCCAAGTTGCCCTCTTGTTTACTTTTTCTCCTGCTGCCTTTGTGGTTCTCACTCATATGGATCATCACTCTCTTCTTTTGGTTAGGGCTGAAAATTTGTCTGACCCGTCCCTGACCCTGTCTGACCCGTCCTTGAAGAGACAAGATGTATAACTGACCCGTCCCGTTCCTGTTTCCTTCTTGACCCTGTCTGACCCTCAAGGGATAGGATGGGTCAGTGGGTCGACCCTAATCTACACACTACTTTGTTTACAAATTACATTTTGGTACCCAAAATTATTTTTTATTGTGATTTAGTACCTAAAAATTATTTTTTGTACAAATAGGTCGTAAAATTTTGATGGAAAATTACATTTTGGTACCCAAATTTTTTATTTTTGCAATTTAGTACCTAAACTTTTGAAAGTTTTACAAGGAGGTCCAATATGGTATGAGATATTTGTTGTTGCTAAGGGTCACAGGGTCAAAAGGTGACCCGTCCCTAAGTTGACCCGAACCGTCCCGACCCTTATAGGGTCAAAAGCTGTCTCGTCCCTAAACTGACTCTATAGACAAACTGACCCTTCCCGACCCTCAGGGACGGGACGGGTCGAGACGGGTTGATGGGTTTTTAGGGTCACACTTACACCCCTACTTTTGGCCTTTGCTGATCAATCACCTTCCAATAATTGGAGCAACAGAGTGAACTAATTGCAGAACCCCAGCTACACCTATATAGCATGCATAGCTACTATATTACAACTTTTCCACTCCTATGTTCATATATTCTCCTCTAGTCATCTTTAAGCTTTGAAATATTCCTCCATGTACCCATAGTTTTATAGAAGACAAAACCAAAAAAAAGGGGGGAATGGAAGATAGTTTCATGGCTCATCAATAATTGGTCGAAAAGTTTGCTACGATGTTAATATCGTTGGATCGCGTTTTCCCCACGCTGCCGATTTCCAGCTTCCAGATTGAACATAATTTTTTGTTGTTGTTGTAAGTAATACCAACTGTGTATTTAAACAACAATCGGTTATATAAATGTATAAGGTGATTCGCCCCATATCGTCTTGGCGAACTAAAAAATGATTTTTTTGGAATTGTAAATGCTCAATTTGTTCATAATTAGTTGAACATATTCAAATCTCTTTGGTGGAAGATGGACGTAAATGGGATGAAGACTATCTAGTTTGAAAATGTGGCGAGCGAGAGAGAACAAAGAAAGGGACTGACGAGAAAGAGATGAGACAAAGGGAGAAGGAAATTGCAGTAAGCAGGGCATGGGAACAAACAAAGCAGATCAGATCAATCTTTGACTACTCCAATACCACCAAAACCCAGCGACTGTTCCCCTCTTTGAGTTTCGATTTTGTTGGGAGGAGGAGGTGGCGGAGAGGCGACCGTTGGATGGGAAGGGAGAAGATCCAACGGCGGCGATGCGGCGGAGGGGAATAAGGGAAACAGTCGGTGTCGGGTAGTGGGAACAGTTTAGCGCGAAATCCGGAAAAAAGGGAATCGCACGGCGGCAGAGTCGAGAGAGAGAGAGAGATGGGGAGTACGGACGGCGGGAGAGAATCTGATGCGGATGCGGGACACGACGGCGACGCGTCCCCCCCAAATCAGCAGCCTGCAATTTGGCATTTTTTTAAAAAAAAATTTATTCCGAGAAGAAACAAAAAGAAAAGGGAATGGGGAAGGAAGGAAGAATGAGAGAAAAAGAGAGGGGTGGTCTTCTTCCATTATTGGCTGGCTCCCCACGCTGCTCCGACATCCATCATTCTGTCCCCCGCACTAGCTCCTCTTTCTCTTTCTCTCTCTCTCTAGTCTCAGAAAGCAATTAGGTTTCTTGGATTGCGGCTAATATACCCTAATCTTTAATTAGGGAAAAATGGAGGATCGATCTTCTTTTAATGACTAACAATTTACACAAGTGAACAATGTGCTCTCTTCTCTTCCTTGCCTTCCATACGAATTCCTCCATGGTTGCTAGCAAAAAGACCTTTTAAAGTAAGGATTGTACATTTCCACACGTTTGTTTGTGATAGGGTATCATAGTGACTAAGGAATTAATACCATGGCTAATGACATGGAGAAGGGAAGAAGACAAAAGGAAAAAGACAAGGCTGGGGGACAAGAGACAAGCCCAGGCACCTGACATCAGCAAGGACAAGGGGCAGGGGGACACCCTCTGCCAAAAGGACTATGAACAATGTCAGAGAGTCTGAGGCGCCCGACCAGAGCATTTATGGCTTGGCAGGCGCCCAGACCACTACCTAACCCTCAAAAGTGTATAAATAGGAGTTCTCTCCTCATAAATGGCAATCTATCTACTCTTACTCTAACTTCTCTCTACTTTCTCTCTCTATATACTTCTTCTCTTTTTCTACTTCGGACGAGGCGGGGCGCCTACCCCCTCAAGGTCATGGCTGACACCCCAAACCCCTTGGACCCGAGCGACCCTCAGTCGATTGGGCTCAAACAATTGGCGCCCACCGTGGGGCCAAGCATGACTTTGAAAGACGCTTCCAACTCAAAGAAGGGAGAAGAAAGGAGTCCAGCACCTACGAAGACCCCTCTCAAGCAAGTTGTTGGTCGCGAGGCTATCAACCCTCAACCACTCACCATCCAAGGTTTGGAAGCATCCGACGACGACGATCCATTGGGAGACAGAGAAGGCACGGAGTGCCTGGAGGGCCAGCTAGCAAAGCTTCGGGAAAAGCAAACACTTCAAATGGCGAGCATGCAAGGCCAACTAGACCAAGTCATGACCGCGTTGCCGGCACTCACCAAGGCCAACGACCAGGCGCCTCCCAATTCACAAGAAGCAACGGAAGAGAGGAGGAGCCTCCGAGGAAAGATGCAGGAAGTTGAGGTGCCACCCATGAACTCCTCACGGGAGGGTGTAG